TTTTCTTCTGATCTGGTTCTACGATATTACCATGCCTTGTTTGTTCAGCCCCAGATTAATCTATTCTCTGATGGTTCTCATTCAGCTTCTAAAGGGAGCGGTCCTTATTAACTGATGCTTCTTGAACTTTATGGCTCTTGATTTTTTCCTTGGCATGGAGTATGCATAGTACATAATAGCTAGTGTGATAGCTTTAGAGGCTGAATCACCCAGTTCTTTCTATTTGTGTAACTCTTGAACCAGGTTTTGATTCTTGCTTCCTGGTTTGGTGACCAGAACCTAAATGGTACTCCTTAGGTTAAGACTTGTGGTTTCATGTAAATAGCAATGCAGAAATGGGGACCAGACATCACAGTAAGTATAACACAAATGGGGCTCATGCTGAGTATTGAGAGAAAATTCTGAGGCACTTAACACGGCCCCATCTTTGGAGCATGGCTTGTGTGAATAGGCCAGGGGTCAGCAAACTTGTTCAGCAGGGGGCCAGTCCACTGTCCTTCAGACCTTGTGGGGGGCTGGACTATATTTTAGGGGGGGGAATGAATGAATTCCTATGCCCCCACAAATAACCCAGAGAGCACATATTAAATACAAGAGCACATTCTACTCATGTAGAAACACAATGATACCCGAACCGTCCGCAGGCCGGATTTAGAAGGTGATTGGGCTGGATCTGCCCCCCCCCCCCCCCGCCCTTAGTTTGCCTACCCTTGGAATAGGCTGTTAACAGCCCCTTAACAAGAGAGGTCACCTTTTAAAAGTCAGTGTAAATCACATGGCCGCCAAATGTTCTACATCAACACCTGCTAATAGAGAACACTTACAACTGTGTGGGGCTTCCATACTGACATAGATAATGTTTAATGTTTGTATGGCACTTTCAAGTGTTCAGACTGTTTCACATGAAATTATCTTGTTGTAATCATTGCAACAACCCTATAAGGTCAGTTCAGTGCTGTTATCACTCGTATTGTACTGTATATGTGGGGACTGAGGCTGAGAAAGAATGACTTGCCTAATGCCACTTTATTATTATTTAATTAACAAAATGTATATAGCTTTAAATTAATGAACAACCTATGAGTGGTTTACTCAAGCTGGAATTTCCTGATTCACAGCGCAATCTCTTAGCCATTACGCTGCACCTTTAGGCATCAATAAGGACTCTTAGCTAGTAAGGTAAAGGTAAAGGACCCCTGGATGGTTAAGTCCAGTCAAAGGTGGCTATGAGGTAGAAGAAGAAGAAGAAGAGTTTGGATTTGATATCCCGCCTTTCACTCCCTTTAAGGAGTCTCAAAGCGGCTAACATTCTCCTTTCCCTTCCTCCCCCACAACAAACACTCTGTGAGGTGAGTGGGGCTGAGAGACTTCAGAGAAGTGTGACTAGCCCAAAGTCACCCAGCAGCTGCATGTGGAGGAGCGGAGACGAGAACCCGGTTCCCCAGATTACAAGACTACCGCTCTCAACCACTACACCACACTGGCTCTCATTTGTGGTGGTGCTCATTTGCTTTTCCGGCCGAGGGGGATGGCATTTGTCCACAGACAGCTTTCCAGGTCATGTGACCAGCATGACTAAACCGCTACTGGTGCATGAAGGAAGCCAGGCCACACGGAAACGCTGTTTACCTTCCCACCACAACGGTACCTATTTATCTACTCGCACTGGTATGCTTTCGAACTTGGGGGATCAGTATGCACATGCTGTTGTGTCCCAGCCATGTTGTTAGAGAACCACCAAGTGTTTACCCACTCTAGAACAGGTGGCAGAATTCAGAAGATCTCAGGTTCAATTGATTGCCTCTTCAGTTAAAGCAGCAGATAGAAGGTGATGTGGAAGATCACTAGTGGAGAACAATATTGGGCTTGATGGACTATTAGTCTGACCTGGTGTAAGGCCAGCTACATACTGTATGTATCAGATCAAATGTTAAGATTTGAATATTAGGTGCTATATATCACTCCTAAGCTTCTTTTTTTGTTTTAGGATGGTTCATGGAGTTAGAACATTCCCTACCATGTTTCTATTAGGCATATTCTGAAGGGCTAATTTCTGGCCATTTTCTGTTGTGCTTACAGAAAATCACACAACTGAACAGCACACATGGCATACTTTTTGATGGCGTGCTATTAGAAATGAGCCCCCCAGAACTTCCGTGTGATATAGATGTATGTCAACCCTTTATTTAACAATGGAACAAATGTTTCACATGTCCAAACTTGCCCCATTTGCATATGATCACATCAATAACAATACCAGACATTGATGAACTCAGATACACTACTACCCTGATTAAACATACAGTAAAATGCTTGGTGCTGTCAAATCACTCGGACCTGACCTCCAGTTACTGAGCTATCCTATTTTAGGCAAGAAACTGCTGAAAACCTAAGTTCCCTTACAAATTTTCCCTCCTCTCAACCTAGGTGCAAAAGAATTACTGCTTTTCTTACAGCACAGGCTCACCCACATTTGTAGGTAAAGGTAAAGGTACCCCTGCCCGTACGGGCCAGTCGTGTCCGACTCTAGGGTTGTGCGCCCATCTCACTTAAGAGGCCGGGGGCCAGCGCTGTCCGGAGACACTTCCGGGTCACGTGGCCAGCGTGACGAAGCTGCTCTGGCGAGCTGGCACCAGCGCAGCACACGGAAACACCGTTTACCTTTCCGCTATAAAGCGGTACCTATTTATCTACTTGCACTTAGGGGTGCTTTCGAACTGCTAGGTGGGCAGGAGCTGGGACCGAAAGACGGGAGCTCACCCTGCCGCGGGGATTTGAACCGCCGACCATGCGATCGGCAAGCCCAAGGCGCTGAGGTTTTACCCACAGCGCCACCCGTGTCCCTTTCTCTACATTTGTAGAGAGACATGCTAATCTTCGCAGCCTATCCCATGAGAATGCCTGGCAGGAGCCAATCTCCCTTAGTTTTTGAGCTCTTAAGAAAGCAACATAATAAAAGGTAAAATAGTTGATATAATTCTGCTGCCCACAATGTCTCAGATAAAATCAAAATGACTGAGTGAGTCAGTAAGGGTGCTATTAACACCCTCTGTGGGGCTGTCTTTGTAAATATTAATTGCCAGAGTTGGCTCTTGTTCAGCATGTGCTTCAGCAGCATTGAGCTGAATCAAGGTTGTTTCACATTAACTGTAATTTATTGATGCACTGGACATCCCCAAAAACCTCTTCAGCACCTACATTTCTTAAGTTCATTCCAGCCAGCTCAACAGATGGTTGGGCGATACAAATCTGTCTGGAGCTTTATAAATTGAGTCTGGATTCATGTAAGACAATCAGCCCAAAGGAGGCACAAATCAAACTGCATCCATTCAGCTTATATTTCACCACCTCAGAATGGCTGTATTACAGATCAGTCCTCATTCATGATGGATCATATGTTAATTCACATTAATTCAGGAAGGCAAAAGATGCTGTAGTACCACAGGGACATACCAGTTTATTATTCTGACCTGTGGTTTCATAAGCAAGAACTGTACACATCTGTCAAAGCAACACTATTTTAAGGTCTTGATTGGGTGACTCAAGCAGCAGGGTACAGGCTCCTTTCTCCCTGTGCCAATGGGGTAGTTTTCAAGCAAATGTTACTGTGGGTCTGAACTATACTGCATTGCAGATGGCTGGAGAAGATACTGCAGCTGTCAGCCCAGCAGGATCAGGTGACCTGAGTAACCAGCAGTCTTACCTAGCCCTATATAATTCATCTGATTCCTTGTGTAGGCAACTTGTGTAGGCCAGGCTGCTCACAGAGTGGTTGAAAAAAAGTAAAGGTAAAGCACCCCTGGACAGCTAAGGCCAGTCAAATGTGACTATGAAGTGCGGTGCTCATCTCATTTCAGGCCAAGGGAGCCGGCGTTTGTCCACAGACAGCTTTCTGGGTCATATGACCAGCATGACTAAACTGCTGGCACAACATAACACCGTGATGGAAGCCAGAGTGTACGGAAATGCTGTTTACTTTCCTGCCGCAGTGATACCTATTTATCTATTTGCACTAGTCTGCTTTTGAACTGCTAGGTTGACAGGAGGTGGGATGGAGCAACGGGAGCTCACCTTGTTGTGTGGATTCAAACCGCGACCTTCTAATCAGCAAGCCCAAGAGGCTCAGTGATTTAGACCACAGCGCCACCCATGTCCCAAGACTGCTTGCATCCCTGCCTAAATCTCTACCAAACTACTACTGTTTTGCCTACCTTGAGGCGGCCAGCACTGACAGCTATTTTAGTGTTTTGATTTGTGAGGAGGGAATATTCATAGTTTGGAGGGTAGAGGATAGACTTAAGCATAATATATGCATGGTTTAGATATTTGTGGTTTTAAAACTAGAGTTGAATCAATAAAGATCACTTTTCTCTGCATGTGCCAAATTTTCCATTCAGAGGTTTTTTTCTGTTATGTGAATTATGTCAGCTTGAAGCCTAGATTTGTGTCCTTACACAATTCTTCCATGTTACAATTTTAAACAAATCTAATTAAGACAAAAAGTAATTGTTCACAGCTTAGATTTATTGGAGTTTAAATGTTTCCCTTTTTTTAGTCAGCTTGTTATAGCAGCCTCATTTGAACCATGGCTAAGCATAATTGAGCAAACACAGTGAAAATCACAGCCACTTCACTCCTTCCCTGGACCTGCTGCTGCTATGCTTCCAGGAGATAAACCATTCTTTGGCTTAACGTTACATGTGAATCCAGAGTCATGGTTTGTTGGCTAGAGCTTGTGGTTTGTTTGGAGCAAAAGGTTCACACATTTGCACACACACAGCTTAGCTGCTGTTAGTGTGGCGGCAGCAGGGCCAGGAAAGGAATGAAATGACCACAATTTTTGCTCTGTGCTCCTGCATACTTGCTTGTTCATACCAAACCTTAGCTTGGCTTAGCATTATGTGCAAATCAGACCATTGTGCATGGCTCTGGATTGGCCACCCTCTCCTTGTATTTCTAGACATTTAACATTCATCTGTCTTTTTCTTTTTGTTCATCAGGTCTTCCTCACCTAAAATGACACAGCAAATGAGAGACCCGCAGCTAGCCCAGTCTAGGAAGCAACCAGGACCCTCATCTCCAAATGCTGCTAAGAGGCTCTACCGGAACCTTTCTGGGAAATTCAGAGTTAACTACATGTCATTTGATGAAGGGAGCATAGCAGGGAGGAGTGAAAAGGATAAGCTCCGCAAATCCTATCCCGTGAGTACATTGCTCTAACAACTGAAGAGCTCTGAGGGTTTTTAGAATTTTTATGTCCTGTTAGAGGAACAACTTCTGCTCCATCCATACCATGGTTGCTGAAAGACTACCTGGCTCTTCCTTGCCGCAGTGTGGCAATAGCTTTGGATTTTGGCTGCCTACCTACCCACTGTTGTGTCATGAACTCTGAATGCATAGTGCAGCTGGTGTAAAGAAAAGGAGGCAAGCAGACTGCTGGACTTTGATAGAAACTTTAGAGGTGTCAAATATCTTCCTGACTCTGAGCTCTTGCAACCCAAATTTACCCTGTCTCATTAGAGGTGTTATGGATATGGTAAATTTGGCTTGAGCTGCAGTGGGAAAGCAAAGTGTTGTCTTCTTCTCTTGGCCTCTGCACTGATCTACTCCACCCTCGTTTCAGTTTTATCTTATTACTGTAGTGAAGACTGTGAAATGAGTGGCATACTTACATTTGTATGACTCTGTTCCTCTCTGCAGTTTCAAGGCAATGCTGCACTCTTTGAGGCTGTTGAGCTGCAGGACCTTGATAAGGTGCAGGAGCTGCTCAAGCAGTTTAGCCTAGAGGAGCTGGATCTTAACACCCCAAACAGTGAGGGTCTTCTGCCACTGGATATTGCCATCATGACCAACAATGCACCCATCGCCAAGACACTGCTGCTGGCTGGAGCCAAAGAAAGCCCTCACTGTAAGTAACCAGTCAATGGCCCAATCCTGTGACCCAATTTGTCCTTTCCCGTGGATGCTTAAGGAACTCTGGCCACTTGGGTTTCTTGATATCATTAGCAATGGGAATTCTATTCTCTTTTGGTGAAATGTGGAAAATGAAAAGCATCTGAAAGGAGTTAGCTGTAAAAGAGAGAACATATAGGACCCTGGAACTAGGGTTTCTGGTGCCTAGCGTGCTCCTGTGTCTTTCATAGCTGGATGATATGTTCCCTCAGTACAGGAAAAATCACATTGCTAGATTTTTCTGTGTCGTGCCTAAAGTACAGTAGCATTTTCTTGAAACATGATGGTACAAATGAAAGCTATAGCTAAAAGGTTCCAGAGCAGCATATCATCCTAGAAGCTGTAGTTATCAATCTGACTTGGTGTTAGGAATGATGCCAAGAGTGAATACCAAAGGAGGTTGGCATTGGCACAACCATAAAGAGTCATAACATCCTTGTGGCATGTTCCTAAGAGATTATTTCAGCTGATTTGCACACAATAAGAAGTGGGGCTGCAGGATAGATTCAAGCTGAACCGCTTACCGCTTGTACTGTTTGAATCCTCACCCAAGAGATGCCAAAATTTACTCTCCAGAGCGTTACCTTGGAAGAGAACAGCTTTGCTGCAAGAAGCATTAATGCTGCCTGATCAGGTGAAGTGAATAGAATGATGAGAAGGGAATTCACCTCATTTCAGATGACTAGCTAAGAGCAACAGGAAAATCTTCATCTGCTAGTTATTTGCAGGTAGTCTGCCTCATGAATAAGCTGACAGTTCTGGTATTAGGGTCAGGAACAGATTGCCCTTTCTTCAAATGAAGGGATTTCTGTGAATGGAGAGCAGAAGGGGAGTGACTTTGAATAAGTGTTTATTAGTACTCTTTCCCTGGAGATGGGGGGGGGTATTCTCTCACAAGTTTGTGTTCTCTCTGTCTGTGTCTCTCTCACACATGCACACACAAAAATAGGTTGCGCTAGATGCAGCCACTGGGGTCTCTGCTTGCTGGGTGGCCCACACAGAGAGTAGCCACAGGCCTAGCTGGCACTGTGTGTAATAATGGAGTTCAGTGAAAGGAGATAGAAAAGAGGTGTGTATTTCTTTGCTGCCTAGCCATAGGAGTCAGGCAAACCAAGAGATTCCCGTGAATAAAGTATATGCACTCTGATCCTCAATGGGGGTCTTCTCCTCTTGTTCTTAACATATCTAGACTGAGGAAAGGGAAATACCTCACACAGATTGTGCTCCAGCTGTGGGTTTGTGCATATGCTACTTCTCAAACAGTAATGACAAAAGCTGGATGAAGTAATAGACCTGGCCATTCTATTTAATGGATAGGTAATTGTCCCTAGTACGAGCGGTGAGCAGTGATATCCAGCAATAGTTTGCCGGGGTCCCTTGCCACTTCTGCCACCCTGGTACATTGCTGTCTACTGAAGGCACCACCAGTGGGGCAGGTAAAGGGGGGGCGCGCGCACACACACACACACACACACACACACTGGTATGTTGGGTGCTGGTAGGGATGTGGATGCAAGCAGATTCAGAACCCTGTGCTTGTGGGAAACATAGACCCATTCCAATATTCTGACAGAATGAGGATATTTTTGTATTTTAGTCATGAGGTCATCATGATAACTAATATGAATAGATATGCAAATGTGAATGCTGTTAATCCAGGTTTAAAAGCAGAAAACCCATTTTTAAATACAGTATGTTTTAGTCAATGTAGGTTTTTCATTCAATGTAAGAAATGCAAAAAAAACCAACCCTTGTTTTGGTAATGCTTAAGGCTCATTCTGGTAGTGAAGGGCAGAATGCTCATCCTTTCTTTACCTTTTCCTCTAAGGATTGGAAATGCAAAGAGGATCATAGTTGCCATTTTCCAACAGGTTTCTGGGGTCTTCCAGGGTATGTTAGCTCCTACGAAATAAAAATACCTTGAATAAATAAATAAAATACAATGGTACCTCGGGTTACGTACTTAATTCGTTCCGGAGGTCCGTTCTTAACATGAAACTGTTCTTAACCTGAAGCACCACTTTAGCTAATGGGGCCTCCTGCTGCTGTTATGCCGCCACTTCATGATTTCTGTTCTCATCCTGAAGCAAAGTTCTTAACCCGAGGTACTATTTCTGGGTTAGTGGAGTCTGTAACCTGAAGCGTATGTAACCCGAGGTACCACTGTACTAGAAGCAAAATTTCAGAATTCAGTTCTAGCTTGCTATCGGAAGACTTGCTTTGAACTGGTGGGTGCATCCTGCTGTGTAACAAGACAGGATTTCTGCTCCCTGATAAGCCGCAGATTCTGGGGGAAGGGAGGGCTGGGATTCCTTTGAGCTTGGCCTTTAAATCTGCATTTAAGAGGATCCAGAATCACAAATTTGCAGAAGCAGTTGTGGAGAAGCAACTTTGTGGTTTTATCTAATAGCTCAAACTCCAGCTGCACCAACCATTTATCCCATGCTGTTTGGGAAATGAGGATCAAGCTGTGCTTCTTCGGCTTGAGGGATTGCTTAGCATGGGAGGTTTTCTGAGGGTAGAGGCAAAGAGAATCACTTCAGAAATTTTCAGGCAGGTTTATGCCTGGTCATGTATTTTTCCTCTTCTTGTGCAATGTATTAAATGTTTCCTTTTCCCTCTGTTCCGTTTCCAAAGTTGTGAGCCTAGAGAGTCGGTCTTTGCACTTGTCAACACTGGTCCAGGAGGCAGAGCAGCGTGTCAATGACCTTACTGCGCAGGTGGTGAATGAGCTACCCAGTGCAGATGGCTCAGAAAAAGAGAAACAGTTAAAAGCATGGGAATGGCGTTATCGGCTATACAAGCGCATGAATGCTGGATTTGAGCATGCTCGTAAGTGTCTGAAATAGCAGCATGCAATGACCCCTAAGTAGATCAGGGATGGGAACAGTGGGCATGTCACTGCAGGGTTTTAGAGATAGGAAATTGGGTGCTACAATATGTAATTAGTCCAGAACAGAAACGAAGAAGTGGCCTTAGGACCTGCCATAATAAACCCCTTGTTGTTTGCAGCACATGGTAAAGTTCTTAATTTAGTGATTCACAGAATCTTGAAGCAAGTCACTAGTTAATGAAATTGGTAGGTCCATGCTGGGTGAATGTGGCTTTCCCCGTGCTGTTCTAGTCAACCTTCATTGAGCAGATTTGAAACTGCTTCTCTCACCCAAAACCAATATTCTAGATCTTTCTGGTTGGTATAATAAATGAAGGTATCCTGTACCTTTTGCCACCTTTCTAACCCATTTGATATTTTCGGAAGAATTAATTTCCTAGCTCAGATATAATTATCATAGTGACCCCTAGACTATGAATGCCAATCCAGGTGCTAAGCTTCACAAAAGAAAACGTTTCCTTCACTTTTCTGTATGACAAGTTGACTATTTTTGGTGTCATGTTCTCACTTGTAGCAATGGCTACCTCTTCAGGGTGGGGGAGATTAAAAAAATCTCAAAACTCTACAATGTCTTGACTTGCAGAGGGAGGTCTGTCTCTTGCATGGCGAGTTCCCGACCCCCCCTCCCCCGGTGGAAATAATGAGACATGACGCAATTATTAAGGTTAATGGGCTAAAAAAGGCCACAACTTTATTGGTTACAGGTGAAGAGCAATATTGGCTTAGGCATTGGTCCTAACTGACTATATCCGACTCCAGCCTGTCTGCTTGAAGTCCGGGAAGGGTTACCCACCAGTAGGGGGAATCCTGCTGATGCACATCAACTAGGAACTCCCCCGGGGTCACCAATAGGGGGTGTGCCTTAGGCCCTAACCTCCCTAGGCTTCGGACAGGGCCACGCCCCCAAATCCTTTAACAGACTACCCTTCAATATGCGGGGCAGGTGATGGCGCTACCTCCCCTCTTCCATCTACAGAACTATACCAATACCTAACCACCAATACCCAGAAAGTTGTGACGATTTGCTACAAGGTAGGCAAAAACCAAGTGGTTGGTGCCAATTTGCCAAGCGGAAAAATTCCTACCAAGCCCCTCAACGGCAACCAACCAAGGTCCATAGCAAGGTCAAAGAATGAAAACCTTATAGGGTGGGAGGGTGGGAAAAACAGGGACAGATGGTGGGTGGCAAAGAGGGAGACCCCTGGCCGTGTCCTGACTTTATAGGGCAGGCCACACCCCCGGACCAGCCGATTGGCCGGCTAGGGGGTGATGCGGCTGGGAATCCCCCCAATCGCGCGGGACTGGCCTCCATCCACCACACACGTGGAGGGGCCGTGAAGCCCGCAACCCCACCTCCTCCTTAAGGTGGAAGTGGATTTGTTTTGTAATGGCTCTTTTAGCTACTATCAATAGAAGGCAAACTTGGAGGAGTATGATTTGGCTAAAATTGTGGGAGGTGGGGTGCAGCTTGTGGATTTCATTAAGGGTTCCCTACCTATCCCACATAATCTGACTACTGAACCTAAGGAGGGATTCTGTGGTCTTGCATCTTCTGCTGATTGAACCCATCTCAGTGCATGCAAATTGCCACCATATCTCTTCTCAGAATTTATTTTATTTTGCAAAGGAAACATACCTTCCTACCTCACCTCATAACAGAGTCTCTGTTATTGTGATCATTCTGGCTGGCAGTTAAGTTGTAAATTAGGCTTATATTGAAGATTTATTCCTTCCACAGAGGCCTTGATACACCAGGATATGTCCCTCCTTATACCTGTGCTATCTGTTCTCAGGGGTTCCAGATCCACCCATGAATGTTCACCTTTCAGTGGCCAGCAGCACTTCTGTGGATGTTTCCTTCCAGGAGCCCCTAAGTGTCAATTCAGCCATTGTCACCAAATATAAAGGTAAATCCAAAGGATGCTCAGAACCATATTACCCAAGAATTAAACTTACATGGACCTGTGAATTGATTTTTTTCTCTTTTGGAACAATCCTTCTTGACCGGGAATCTGATCCAAGTAAATTTCTAAGGGCCCACTGATTCAGTTCCAAAATTCACCTTTTTTGAATTATTTGTTGCCTGCCATTTTGAGGTGAATAATTTATGGATATACATTGAAGATGTGAAGGTCCAAAGAGAAAAAAGGAATGCATCAGCATAGTTCAGTGGTACTGAACTGTAGTTTACAGGGTCTAAAATCTGCTTACATACAATTATATCACACAACATATATAGTACAACTGCCATAATGACTGGGAGATGGACATCACTTACTGATCCATCTATGCATCCTCCAAGCCTTAATCAGTTACTATTGCCTTTAAAAATTATTAATTTTATATTAATTTTATGAAGAGCTTGCATAACATATAATAAATATTTTTCAAGGCAAGTGTAACTTATTAAGATATGGTAAGTTATCTTTTTTTCTTTTTGTTTTATGTCTTTTAAGATTTGAAGGTCTGCAGGCAGGAACGGTCCAGTCATAAATCTTCTTACAGTTCCTAGAATACTTTGGGTGCTATATGAATTATGATTATAATAGACCAATCTGATGGATTACATAATCTCAGGCCTTGTTTCAAAAGTTACACTGTCCTAGCCTGTTGGTTGTTGGGAGAGTCTGAAGATTTGTCAAACCAATCTATTTAAAGGCCCAGGCACCATAACCTTTATGGGGCTCACAGTGGCCTCCCTACCCATCTCCCTGCTTTACTCCTGGAACATAGGAAGCTGCTACATATTTAGACTGTACACCAGGCACATTAGGTATTTCATAGAGCTCAAGGAAGGCTGCTTTGGTGCCCTTGATTGGTTGGTTTTATGATGTTCCTGCACAGTGAAATTAACAAAGTGAGGTATGTCCCTGTGGAAATCTTTATGAACAGGTTGTAGCAAAGATGGGGTGGGGTAGAAAGGCCACCTAGATGTATAGATTATGAACCTGAGGGCAGAGACTGCCTTACTACTAATCTTTGTAGACTACTGTTTGAGTCTCTTTGGCTAAGGAACAGGGTAAAAATGCTTTCAAATAATTAAGGAAGGTCAGGAATGAAGTGACCGTCTCCCACTGCAGTCCGTCCTCCAGGCTTTGTGAAATACATGACCTTTGCTATCAACACATCAGGCCTGATGGTGCTGTTGCTGAATGCCAGATGAGCCATAATAAAAATAAATGATTCATATTTCTGGGGGGAAGTGCTGGCCTGGCATGTATGGACCATTTCAGAAGGCTTTCAAGCTTACTTTGTAGTGGTGTTGGCAATGAAGCAATATTTCTGCTTCCTCATTGCATCCTCAACTTGCATATAGCCCAAGACCTTTCCCATGTTCAGGAACACTTAGATGCCTGCTAAGAGTAGTAGGCTCTTTGAGGATAAAATTGCTTACGTCTACAGCAATTTGGATACCACAGTTCTTGAAATACAGTCTGTTCATAATTCCAGAACACCATCTAGTTAAATACTGTTGGATGTGTTTTGATTATTGAGGTCCAATGACACTGATAGGTGCTTGGAAGAGTATCATCTACTATAACTTGCCTAGTTTGCTTTATAATTTACTTTGTGCAGAGGGTTGACAGGTTTGTTCCTGGATGTTATAAAGGCCAGCTTGCAAAAGTGGCTGTTGTCAGTCACCTTGAAGTAGGCAGTTGTGTAGTGGCTCCTGGAAGAAGAAAAAAACCTTCACTGAACCCAGGAAATAACAGCTAGTTGTTCATAGACCCTTTGGGGCAAAATGCTCAGATGAGTTGGATAGGCAACTTGAGTCACTCTTGAATGAGACCAAGTATCTAAATGGATTTCAATTTAACGTCTAATACGGAAACACCTTTGGTCATCCTGAAGGATGATATCCCAGGAGATAAATCAGGAAAGTATGACCTTGTAGATTCTCCTGGACCTTTCAGTGGTGTTCAGTACCTTTAAACATCTTTCTGGACTAACTGTCCAGTTATGGGAATGAAGGGCACCGTGCTTCTGTTCCAGTTTGAATGGCATTTTGATTAGTCTGATCCATTGCATTGTGGGACTCTTCTTTATCCCCTGTGCTGTTTTAACGTATACATGAAACCACTGAGTTCATTCCAGGATCTGAGATGAGATGTCATCAGAATGCAGATTATACCCAGCTGTTTATCCTGTTCAGTCACCTCAGGGGAAGCTGTGGAAGTGCTGAGCTGCTGTCTAGGATCAGAAGATGAGTGGTGATAAGAGATAAGGCCTCAGTTATAAGCACCACCTCTGGAATTCCCTTCCCTCTGTTTTTATCTATTTTATTTGCACAGGCACACAAGAGATTAAACTGAATTCTTAAAGATATGCTTACTGTTTGTTTTCTTTGGTTTATTGTATTTGTTTAAAAATTATTTTATGTTACCTACTTTAGGACTTCTGGCTAAAGAAAGGCTAAGAGATTACTTAAATAAATAAATAGTCCAGGGTTTCATGTGGCAGTTCCTGTGTGAAGTTTCATCTCAGTTACTGCCAAGCTCTTCATAATTTTGCAAACTGATTTTGCATTTGAAATATTTAGACATTATGCATCCACCAAATTTGCATAATTCATGGAGAGTACTGAGCTTAAGTTTTCTAGTTGTTAAATTTGAAACATTTTCATGCCTTTCTTCTAGTCCATCTCGGTTGGTGGCCACTTGTGACATGAATCAATCTCACCACTTCTCCAGAATCTGCTATTCTGGAAATTTGGTAGAAAATGCCTTACACTGCTTCTGTAATGTGAGAAGGAAATATGTAGCTGATTTATGGTAGTGTCTAAATGGTGGTGGTTCTACACTAGGCAAGTTGCTTTTTGCTAAAAGTTTTAGAAATGTCTTCCCAAGTGCTCACTCAAGTTGAATGCCATAACTCTGTCCCATCTTCAGGCTATTTGGATCCCATAAAAGCATGTCCCTTTTTGGCTTCAACACCTGCTCCCTCAACATAGAATTCCCAGCAGTTTAAATCCTTTGTGTCCTGTCATCATAACTTTGGCTTTCAGAAGAATTTTCCTTTACCAGTCTCCACCAAATCCTGCCACTTAATCTACTTTGTCTATTTCCCACCCTCTCTCTGTTGCCTTTGTTTGGTCCATCTGTTGTGCTCTCTCTTTTATCTCTGGGTTCATCAGCTTGACTGTTCATCTTTTGGCCTGCCTTTTTGCCTTTAACTCTTTCTGTTACGTCTCCTGTACTGAGATAAAGAGTTGAAGTAACCCTAGCTATAGAGACTTCTCTGCTGCGCTATGTGCAGCTCCTGCATTGCACATTTGGCAGGGAGTTAAGTCCTTTGAATATGAAAAAGGTGTGCCCTGTTGTTGCACTCTCTCTCTCTCTTTCTCTCAATTGACACCTTCCCTCCCCGCCCCCCAGCTCTTCCATGCCTTTTTTCTCAATACATTTTTCCAGTATGCACAGCTGGTCCCGCTGTAGCTGGTTCTTCAGTTTCACAGTCAATCCCCTTACAGCAGCTGTACCATCCCTGGCAGCCTAGCTTTCTAATCTAGCCCTGACTGACTGCCAAGCACTACATCCTTTGCCTTACTGATGAAAGACTCCCAATTACTGACGGAGTGGCTGTGCTTTTCCTTTGTTTGCAGTCGAATGGAGCTGCTCCCCCACCTTCTCCCCACCGCTGGGTGAAGTGGTGATCAACAAGCTGAAAAACCTACATATCACCATCCAAGGTCTCCTCTCGGTGAGTAAGTTACTGTGCTGTGTGCTGAGCCACAAGGGTACTTCAGGGAATGACCCCAATTGATCCCTTCACCCCATACTTCTTGTTCTAATTCACCAAAGTGCAAGCTAACTGCAGTGAACCTCTGCCCACCACACAGCCAGAATATGAGGATGTCTGAATGATTTAGTAAAGTGCCCATTTCAGGGATTGGTACTTCTTCACACAACACTGAATTTATTAACTGCATGCAGGTAGCCATTTTAAGTTCCCTGAAATGTGTGTGGCCTATTTAGGACCCAATCAGTACATTACAAGGCAGCAAAATGCAGCATTTGCCCTAAGCAGTGGCTGCAAGCAGGGGATAAGGAGCCCTAAATTCTTTTCCTCTGAAACTTGGTTAAGTGGATTTTGTCATGCTTCCTGATTGAGATAACTATGGTCTAAATAGAGTTTACTCACAAATCTTGTAGTAGTAATAGAGGTGTGGCATAAAACTGAATATGGTTTTTTGGAGTGGGGGAGATAACTGAGGTAAGAGCTCCAGCAACAGGCGTCTTGTTGCTGTAGTGTGAGAAAGTAGGTGTCTGAAATGAGGCACATGATATGCAGATGCATGCCATAAATTTATTACTAGGCTGTACCAACTGAGACTGCAGAGGAAAGACCAAATATTTGTAAGTTCTCTCCTAATGAAAATCAAGCTGCACATACAACAATAATATATGAACCAGAAGGGGTCTAACTTAGGTTTCTCCTTATCAGGACATGGCTTTTTCTTGCCACAAATGAGTGCATATTCCCATGCCTGGTCATGAGGCTTCTGAGCCAAATAGTCCAGTACAAAGGCTTGTGGTGAATATTTTACTTATATTTTAGAAACCAAAATGTCTGAGGTTGCCCCTGAGCACAAAGAAGAATTCAAGCAGTCTCAATAATTTAGCAAGATATGAAACTAATTTTTGTTCCTTTTCATGAGTTTTGAGACGTGCCTCTTGTGCAACTATTTTTGCCTGTTGTTGTGAGCACATTTGAAATTTCAGGGCTGTTCTTTTGGTACCACTTTCTTTCCTTCTTCCTGCTTCCCCACTCATTTCCCCGCACTGGCTATCCATATGATTTTGCAATGACGTGATAAGGCTGTCAAACAATTAGGAAACATTTAATGCAGACATAATAAAAATAGTATCTTTAGAAAATAATAATAATTTGTTTACAGTTACCATTTCCCCATGAAATGCAGCATGCTAAATGCCAGGAGCAGTTCATAGCTTTCAGTGTATGCATTGCATGGGAAGGAGCAGCCATCCCCAGGCTGAAATCTCAGGGTCTTGCAGTTGAGCTTTAGTCACTAAACCGTGTGATCCATAGTTTTTTCTGTGATTTCTACCCAATGGCACTCCTTCTCACACCCCCACTCCAAGCCAATAAATCTTATACCCCCACCACCTGCAAAGATCAAACTCTCCACCAGCTCCATGGCTAATTGGAGATGAGAATCAGTGACTCCACTCCAACCCTCAAGTGTATGGAGGTCATGGGTTGGCTGGGACCTGCCCCCCACCCCTGCAGTTTTATCTCTCTGGGAACTGCAGGACCCACACTGCCTGTCAGCTGTCCCCTCCCCATTGTGTGGTGGACAGCTTCCAAGAGCTCAAACAGGAGCCAGACTTCTGAACAAACAGCAAGTTGTGGGGGAGACGAGACTGGGAGCTGCAAAGGGATATGATTTTGCAACAAATGGCCTGTAGGCTTGCTCTGCTCCCTTAGCCTCCTAAGAAAACTTACATTACACACAATATACCCAATGGAAATGTTTGCTTGTGAAGCTAGTTATGTGATACCACTAGGCTGACAATCAGCTGACATGGTTCAGTTGGCTGTGGCCCAAAATAAAAGTTGGATTGATTTTGATCATACATTTAATAGGAAAGACATACTCCACATGTGAAACTGAACTGATAGGAATGATCAGGTTGGGGGTTGGGACTCAAGATAATTTGGTACAGACTGAAGGCTGTCTACACTGCTTTACTGGGCGCGACCAGCAGTCATTCCTGTTTTAGGGCAATATTATGCATCCAGGAACTGAATACATAACAAATATTATTTGGCAAGGTTATGGGGCAACACTGGATGCAGAGGGGAATTCAGACTTATTTCCTGGGTATCTGCTGGACATCCAGAAAATTTATGTGGACTTGGATTAGATCTGAATATGATCTTTGGGTATTTCTAATGCAAGACAACATCATTAAACTCTGCTTCTATGGTCACATCACATATGAGTCCCACTTAAGTAATATGAAATGGGAGGGTTAGTAGGGTTTCCATTTGTGGTAAGGAGGATGTGGAATATGCTGAGTCCTCTTGGCCTGGCACACAGCACAAATATCACGGCAGGATTTAGAGACTTCTGTGAAGCTGCAGTGCTACCCTGAAGCCCTAATCTGATTTCATTTTTAATCAGATATGATACAGACTACAGCTTGTCTGAATTCAATCAGAAATTAAATCTGCAAAAGCTGAACTTCCAAAATCTGTCAGACCATCTGAGTTATTCTGGAGTTTATCAGCAACTTTAGTCTAAACCCATGACACAGGAGAAGACAGAAAGACTGTGCAAGATGGTGATGGCCTGCACTGCTTCTGCAAGTTCATAGGCCATAGGCAGTATTGCTCCACATCCTCCCTCTCTTTCAATAATGACATATTATGGACAACACCTGGTGACTATATTAGTGGAAGGGAAACTGAAACCACCCTTCACCCTTCTGAGCAACAAGGTTTTCTCTAGTCCATGTGACTCCTTATTCCTTTCCCTACAGGGTACAGCTTACTATGTCCAAGTATCTGCCTACAACATGAAGGGATGGGGACCTCCGCAAACTTCAATACCACCCTTTGCTATTCCATCAAGTAAGTGGAAACATCAGGGAGCATCAAACATACACCTCATTATTCATACTGTAAGGCTAGTTTATTGTTCTTGCTCATGTTTTAGAGCTTAGTGAGCACTCAATGGTATATAACAAATGGTACTGTGGCATTCTGAAGACTAATTATTATGGCACCAACTTTCATGGACTATTCAAAGATAATTTTATGAGAATTGCAATTTTTTTTAAAGAAAAAGCAGGATTGACTTACAAACACGCTGTCCCCATTCGAAATGTTCAAGGACAGATAGGTCTAGTAGTAACAACAGTGGTGATGGAAGAGAAGGTATACCCTGGATATACTGTAAGGCACACAGCACACAAACAGCAGAACATTGTGTCTCCAAATTCTGGTTATCCGAAACACCAAAGTCCTACAGATTAACATGCTCTTCAGGGATTCTCATGGCAGCATAATTTGCAATAGCAATGCTTCTTTTTATCTAAACTTCTAATTATTAAATGGTTCTCTATCCTCCTTTCTTAAACAAAAAATGCCCATACATTTAAAATATTACTTTGGTATCTTAATCTCCTTTCTACTCTCTTATATATTTATTTTGTTTAGGTTGTTAGATTTTTTTGCTTTTCCCATCCCAAGAGCTCAAGATGTATAACAACAGTATGATACTTAATATAACCTATCACTAGAAGCCAACTGAAATAAATTTCACACCATATAAGCTTGGGCTTTGGTGAGTTGTGAAGGGACCAGAATCCCTGTGTACAGCTAACCTGAAGGGTTCAGTGGTTTATTTTTGGGGAGTGAGAAGCTAATACTTCACCTGTAACCTGGGTTTTTAAAGAGTGGAAGCTTTGATACATTCTGGTGGGATGTCAATTCCTTTTAGATAAGAGAGGTTTGCTGCCCCTGAAGCAGCATCAGAGTTCTAATTCTAATACAGGTCTCAGTAGTGCAGTGGATCAGTATGTCTGGCTATTAACTAAAAGGTTGGTGGTTTGAGCCCACCCAGGGACTTCTGTGGACAGCATTCCTGTATTGTAGGGATTTGGACTAGGGATTTGGACCAGCAACCACTTTGGTCGTATATGATGCCTAAATGGGAACAATGCTATGTCATGACATAGCTTCATTCCCAGGAGCATTGTCGGTTAAAAGGAAAGACAGCTGTCCTTACTGCAGAATGGGCAGCTGATTGGAGCTCCTCTGCCACTCTGAATGGTGGAAAGTCTTTTTGCTTTATTCTGTTTTAAATAAAGGAATACTTAAGGAAGCCTCCTGCCATCTCATCTTGCATGGGTATACATATGCCTGTGTCCCCTAAAATGTATCAGTTTTCCTTTTCCCCTGAGAAAGTGGCAGAAAATGCCCCCATTCACAGGCTCAATGAAGGTGATGTATGATTTTCATCCCAGCGTATTATATGAAATGCACATAATACAGCAAAGCCGAATTCAAGTAAAAGAAAAAATCCAAACTTAATAGTTATATTTTCCCCTGTTTACAATGCAGTTAGATCATAGAATTCCTGTCACTGAGGCCAAGAAGGATTTCCATCCCTTTAACAACAGCCAAGACAAGACAAGGTTTCTGTAAATAATGCTGCTGTTGTGTAAAACTTAAGAGATGTCAATTGTGTCTTTCATGGTCAATCATTCTCTAACACGATGAGACATTCATAGTTAAACAACTGTATGTCATTCTCTCCTCTGCTAATTATACATCTTGCTCCATCAACCACAAAGGCAATACCTTTAAGGACAGTCCATGTGGTCCAGGGATGCAAATCCATCATGACCAAATTGGAAGTTAACGGAGCTCAGATTGATGGATTAGGCCCTTTAGCTTTGGGTTGTATAATATAGCTGAATGTAACTATAACATTCCAGCCTGAGTTATAAAGTAATTTATTCCTTGCTTTCAAATTTTAAAGAAAATATTTCTCCCCTAAATAAAAATAACCAACTTTTGTCACGTAAAAGTGTGCAGCACCTCCCTGGGTGTTTTTAAAGCACCTAAAAATAGCACCAGGTCCCAGCCAAAGTTAACAGAGCTGATCTTTCCATGGAAAACAGCAGCACAGGGGAGTGTATAAACCAATTAATGTAAAGTTAATGTAAAAGGGCTGCTTCCCCCACACTAGCCTGTGCTGCTCAGTAGCTTTGCCACCTCATAACTAAGAAGCACAAGGAAGAGGTTCTATTTATTTATTTATTTATTTGTCTAGGTGAGTTTAACTCTCACCATTAGTATGAAGAAACTTCTGCCCAGTTGAAGGCCAGCAGCCGACATGAGGCTGCGGAAATACTGAAAAGAGCTACAACAGACCCAACCTTGTTTGTTACTATGATTTGTCGTCTCCTCCTACTGGCGGCAGCTGTTAAATTCCGTCACCCTTATGAGCAGTTCCCACCAGTGGTTACTGCTTTTGGGTTATTGCTTCTGTATTGCTTAACATAATTTGTACCTCTTAAGACTGAACTCTCATGTAAAGCTAGGAGGAATCCTAGGCAGAACTACCTGCATTTCTGTGCAGGTAAGAGAAATTGTTATCAAGTGAAAGAATCGGCATCTTTAAAAAAATCTCAGCAGTCATTAAAACAAGAAATACAGTTACTAGACTTTGGATTTCAGTGATATACTTTAAAACATGTTGGCTTGGTGAAATCCCAGAAGCTGAATACAATTTCCAGTTATCAGGAGATGGGGCTGCAATGCTTTTCATAGCTCCATGCCTAGCAGCATGATGATTAATAGAACATAAATAAATATACAGATTTTTCTTTAATTAGTGTAATTTATTCAAGATACATAATATGATTTTCCTTCCTCCAGAACTTGGAGTACCACAGTGCAGAATTGTGATTTCTAAAACAAGGACTATATGTAACCTTAGTCATACTGCAGATATAGTCTTAAATCGTTATCTTCCATCTTTGCAAAGTCAGGACTTTTTAAACATCAACCTACAGTATGAAACTGGCAGTTAATGTTTTACTGTACATACCCATATTTTTCCTCTGTGTTCTTCCCCTTCCCCCCTTCTCCTACTGTCACCTCTTTCTCTTTTTCAGTCTTAAACCAATTAAGACTGACTTAGCCTGTAACACTAAGCCAAACCATATCTTAGCATGAACAAGCAAGCATGTGGGTTTCCAGTGATGTTTTTACTTCTTCCCCAGTCCTTTCCTTGTTGTGCTACCCAGAGCTAAACCATGGTGTGGCTTAATATGTCTAAATCGAGGCTTAAGGTGTCTCACTCCAGACAAACTACAAGCTGTAACCAAGGTTTGTTCTTGGTTTACCACTCATGATCTGTCTGGCAGAGACAAACCATGAGCCCAGGTTCAATGACATGGCTTAGCCCCAGATAGCATGGCAGCTGCATGACAGAGGGATGCAGCCACACTCTTTGTGTCATGCTTGCTCATTCGTGATTTGGTATTATGTGCAAACCAGATCTAAAGATCGAAAATGATCATACAAAAGTTGGTAGTGGTGCTATTGCTGGTTTGATCCATTTAGGTAAGGATTGGACCCAGTTGTGGGTCTGACCTGTAAATTGAAAACCACTATATAAGACTAAGGCTTTCAAATGGTGATGATCTTCACCCATTCATCAAGTCTAGCTTTTAGTGTCAATAGATCAATTGTGTTTTGAGCAATGTTTTATCCAGAAAGCTGTTCAGTAGTGTACTATGGGTATGAAACAACTGTGAGGGGGAAATATTGTAATGGACTGGAACTGCTAACAGCTTGTGCTGCTATTTCTCTATGTATTTTATTTGCTTCCCACTTCAGACTGGAGAGAATATGATGGGCGGGCACCAAGGCGAAGAGGTCAAGCTGAAGCTTTGGACCATCTTCTAAGCCAGGTGAAGATGGTACACCAACAATGTGTGTGTCACGGTGAGTCCCACTTTTGTGTCCATAGGCAGTTTAGATACCAATTCTCTTGAAGAGCCTATTCACTGTGGGAATGTTTAGAGTGACAGGAAAGGATATGTTGTTTATTAATATCCTTCCTAACTTCCTTTACTTAGCAGAGTGCATTTCCCCTTTACACAACAGAAAACTAGTTGCAAACTTGTGTGAGTTTCTTAAGACAATACACAATCTGGCTTGTCCAAATTGAAATGTGTTCTAATATTTTCCTGGTAAGACCCCTTGAATCCCTCCTAAGTGAATAAAGACACCACAGTCTTATTCATAAATAACAAAAAGTAAGTTTACTCACGATTGGGCAGAGCACAGTGTGATCCCTAAAGTTAGGTAAAGGGACCCCTGACCGTTGTGTCTAGTCGCGGACAACTTTGGGGTTGCAGCACTCATCTCGCTTTACTGGCCGAGGGAGCTGGCGTACAGCTTCCGGGTCATGTGCCAGCATGACTAAGCCACTTCCGGGTCATGTGGCCAGCATAACTAAGCGGCTTCTGGCGAACCAGAGCAGCACACAGAAACACCGTTTACCTTCCCGCCGGAGCAGTACCTATTTGTCTACTTGCACTTCATGCTTTCAAACTGGTAGGTTGGCAGGAGCAGGGCCCAAGCAACGGGAGCTCACCCCGTAGCAGGGATTCGAACCTGCCTTGGCCTTTTACCAGGTCACGCCTACCCACTAGTCACATGCAAGGAAGGATGCTCCAGGCCAGGAGGAACAGGAAGTTTCGACTGGCTGGACCAAACATTTCCTTGCATGTCCACTCTAGCAAAAGAAGGAATGTTGTATTTGACTGCTCTCAGTGGATTACATCCCACATTCATGGTTTGCTAAGGAATTGGAATTGATGGGAAGGAGAAATGGTGAATAGATAAGGCCACTGCTAGCATATTAAATGAAAACTCCTGTTGAAACCTATGGAAATTCCTCTGCACATTATAGTCTTGTCTGACCAGTACCATTCCCCCAACTAAGTGGTAAAAGACTATTAAATATACAGTGATACCTCCGGTTTTGAACGGGTTCTGTCCCAGAGGTCCAGCCAGATCCCAAGGTTTCCGCAACCCGAGGATCACTGTTCTGCACATGCAGGTGGCAGTAGACCGCTTCTGCACATGCACGTAGGGGTGGGAGACCTCTTCTGTGCATGCGGAAAAACCTGGCCCGATACTTCCAGGTTTGATGCTTTCGTAACGTGAAGTTTACGTAAAGAGGGTTACGTAAGCCGAGGTGCTACTGTACTTGTATCAGGCTCCCAGTGGTTTTAAGAGAATCATTGAAATCTTTGCAGTAATCAGATGCTGTATTTTGGAGACCTATGCATGCTCTATGGAAAAGCTCATGAAGGAAATAAGCTGCTGAAACCCTCAGAGAAAAAAAATAATCAAGCTAACTTCCTATGCACCAAGAAGAGAGTGTATATAAATAACCACAGGGTCGAGTGAGGCTAACAGCTGATGTCCCAGTATATTCTTGTTTTCAAAAATGAGTTTGTAAATTATATGAGAATCTCTAGCTTGGTCAAAGCTCTGCTTTCACAGCAGATGACAAGGCCTTTCTCTTGCATCCTCCTTGTTGTTCCTACCTGGATCTGCTGACTAATATAACTGTGGTATGCAATAAACAAATCTCGACCAGAGCCATAATACTGAACTGCGGAAACCAGCCCTTAATTATGGATGAAATATTATGAAGTATCTTAATGAAATCTTCTGCTGTCTGACTCCCCCAAATTTTAGCTAAGTTATACTTCATACCCTTCTAGAAACAATAGCTAATTGGTACCATTACAAAAGGTAAAGGAGACTGGGACTCCTCTAGCTCCCTTGCAATTTGAGCACTGGGGTTAACTGATTTTTGTATGCTAGTGTGGTCTGTTAGTGGTGTTTGGGAACTGAGTTCAAATTCTACAGGCAACTGCTATAGGGACAATCTATGTGATCTAAGGGTACAAATCCAACTACGACTTTTTACTTCTCTTTGAATCCCAAACAATCATAGATTGCTGGATCTTTTGATTATCGTCTGCTTTTTAAATTAAAATACTTAGGACATCCCTCACAGGGTTATTAAGATGAGTGAAACAAGAATTATAAAGCACAATTAAAATAATATATGGAACTTTAATTGTGCTTTACAGTCCTTATCTTCTGTACATATTTAATAGGTTAAAAACTGGTTGCCGCTTGTCTGCTAGCCCTTCTTAGAGATGGAATGTTCACAACCTTTGAGGAGCAAGGCTTAGTTACAGAAGGAACAGTGGAAAGAAAGCAGGGATCCAGTTGGTAGCATGGCTGAAAAATAGAACAAAATAGCCAGCATGCTACAAAATCAGCAGGTTCCTGTAGAATGAATGTGGGTGATAGTAAAGTGTTTAGAGAAAAGAGGGACTGGAACATAGAAAGCTGAAGAAAAGAGAGGTCAAGGGGAAAAGGTGCTGGGAAACCCTCACACAAAAGCTAGGGGGAGGAAGAGCTATGTGAATTTGGCAGAGTAATAGTTTGCACCAAGGGGGAAATGGGGAATGAATGACATATCTTCTTGGTTTTACCTAACCAGCCTAGTCTTTTATCTTGAATCTTTAGTAGATATATACACAAGGCTAGGCAATAAGAAAAAGGATGAGTTGACAGTAGTATAAATAATGGTTTCTGTAATGCCTTCTGCATGTGCTTTGCTCCTCAGAACCCTGTAAGAATCAGCCACAGAGCAGAAAACACTCTGTCTCCAAGAGTCTGAAGTATCTCTTCCACCCTGGCAGCAAATTCTTAAAAACACTGAAAAGGTAAGGTGGGGGGAGAATATGCCATCCGTCCACCTATGCACCCCCTTGCTATATTTGTTGAGTTTCCCAGAAACCGGGTGCGTGGGTCACTTCACTGTTTCCCAGGCACTTCAGGGGAACAAGGGAAATAGGGAGGAAAGCTACTGTATCTTTATTCCATTCCTCACTCCTCACCATGGTGGAAAGAATACTTCCCAGTTAAAACAATGATGATGATGAATCCCTCCCAAGCTAACTCTTTTCTATTTTCCCAGGGGCCTGTATCTGGCATCAATATTCTACAAGGATGACAACATATTGGTCACGCATGAGGATCAGATCCCTGTGGTCGAGATAGATGACACCTATTCTTGCCTGCTCATGCAGGACTTTCTCTGGTTCACTAAGGTGACCGCTTAGTAGGGTGACTTTTGAATGTGTGTCATTTTAGGTTAAATAAATATGTTTAAAAGAACATTATAAATTTACATCAAAATACATATTTTGTAGTCCATTGAAACATTTTCCTTTGACTCTTCCTATTTCTAGTAAGTAAAAACAATATTGTTACTTTACTTAAGAAAAATTTAAATATAAGGAGAGGGAACCTAGCATAGGACAATATGAAAAGGTGCACAATTGCAGTGAGAGAGAGACTCTAGTTAGGATACAAACATGTTTCCTCTATTCATTTTTTTAAAAAAGCTGAACTTGGGGAACTTCATACCCGCTGTATATAAAACTGAGCAGACCTGAGAATCCTAGAATGACCTGTTGCTATACTTGATGTAGGTATCGTGCATGTGGGATGAAATCCTGTGGCTGCGTCAGTGTGTCACTGTCTCCCAATCATCATGTTCCTGCATTCTGCAAACACGTCTCAAGATGCTTCTGGCCATCTCACAGATGCAGGTAAGAAAAAAGGCCTCTTCAAGGCACAGGAGTGCCAAAGATGGGTATTTTGTCAGCTAGGCACATATCACTCATACATCTGATGCTCAATCCATTGATATTTAGGTCAAAATCATTAGATCTGAACTTCAGCTAGATAGATCTAATGCCCTTCATATACTAAGCAACTCAGGCAGGTGAGTAGGATTGAAAAGTCAAGGAGATACAGCCATCGCTAAGAAGGCATTTGAGTTTGAAGCAGAAGCAATTGATAACGTTCAGAATTTCTTGGGTGTGTTTCTGGCCAGGGGCCAATTTCTGTGTTCCTTTCCAACATAAACTCACCTCTTGGGAAAAATCTTAATGATAAATGGTTAGCTGTTCAAACATTTGTTTCATACCCAACATGAACATTGTGAAGCCATTATGTCGTCTCTGTGCTACATTATTGGGAGCAAAACAGACATTTCTATTTTTATGCTCTATTTTTCATGTTTTAACAAGTATCTTAATAGATCAAGCTTTAATTGATTAACTAGTGCAATTCATCAGTTAAGAGTTTAGTTGCAAATATATAATGCATACCAGGTACTTGGGAGTAGTCCTCCAAAACAGATTCCTTCAATGCCAGTAAAGTAATTATTGAGGAAAGTGATATAGATTGCAGAAAATATTAACTTATTCTTCCTTTCTGCCTGACAACAGACCTCAAAGGTGGCTGAGAATAAGCAGAAATAAATATGTAACAAATATGAAAATAGGGGTGACTGATGAAGATGGGGGAGGCAGTGGTGCAGACTACGTACTCCCTACCATTTTCCCGATGAAAGGTTATTCAGCCTGGTGGTATTATAAATGATAGTGACATATTGAAATGGCTGTACTTGTTGGCTATCATGTATAGCCAGTTCCATATATGGTTAAGCTTTTTCGCAAGCAACTTTTTAACTATGTACGATGAATATTTGCATTGACAGACAGCAGAAAGCAAAGATTTCAAGAAGCCAATGGCCATCTTAGTCACTCTTCATAATGAGTAAAAAACATTGTTCATTCAGATTCACTAAAAACAGCTTTGCCAAAGTGTTGTAATTTATAAATATATGTAAATTTAATTGGTTAATTGTTAAAATATGCTTTCATCTGTTGACAGCCCTGCTTATTATTCATGTATTGTCAGGTGACTTTGGTTTTAGGTAGCAAAGGAGCACTTCTGTCTGAATATTTAAATGCTCAATACCTTTTACTGTTACAGTGGTACCTTGGTTCTTGAACTCCCGAAACGGTTTGAAAACCAGGCTGCAGTTTCCGATTGGCTGCAGGAGCTTCCTGCACTCAAGCAGAAGCCGCAGAAGCTGTTTAGTCAGACGTTCGGCTTCCAAAAAACGTTTGCAAACCGGAACACTCACTTCTGGGTTTGCGGCATTGGGAGCTGATTTGTTCAGGAGCCAAGCCATTCGGGAACCAAGGTACCACTGTGTACCCTTGTAGAGTATAGAGGATATGCTATCTAGAGTCAGACTCCACTCTCCATAAATGACTTTTTCCTCTCTTTATTATTATGAAGGGTCTGCTGGGAATTCAGGATCTGGGACATGTCTTTTTTGAGCCCATCAAAGACAAGCAGGGCAATATTTTAGTTGTGACCCTAAAGGAGGTGAAGACAAACCAGACCTTTGAAAGTGTCCACTGGGTCCCCCTCTCAAAGCTGCAGACAAGCCGCAAGTCCATCTCATCTCCAGAAGAGCCTACAGCTCTGGATGTGCTGCTGATGACCATGCAGGTGCCTGGTGTGTGTGTGTGTGTGTGTGTGTGTGTGTGTGTGTGTGTGTGTGTTTAGTGATGGAAAGACTGTGCTCATATTCAGAGGCACTCAGTGACAGACTAAATACTTTGCATACAGAAAATCCCAGGTGCAGTCCCAAGTCTCTCCAGTTAAAAGGATTTTAGGAAGGCAGGCTGGAAAAGACCACTACCTCAGACCTTGAAAATCCACTGCCAGTCAGAGAAAACAAGGATGGAGAACCCCTGGGGGTCAAATGCAACCCTTCAAGTCCCTCTCTGATCCTCAGGACTCTTCCCAGGCCACACTCACTTTGCTTTTGCTACAAAGAATGTCATTGAATTCTGTTAATGTCTCTTGCTTTTTGGATGTAAGATAGAGAGGGGTGTGTACATGTGGAGAGACTGGACTACTATATAAAAATTAACATTCATTGTTCTGGTCCTGCCCACCACTATCATGTGCTCCCCAGAAGGTTGCCAGAATAGGATGTGGACCCCAGGTTAAAAGAAGTTCCCTATCTTTGGAATAACCAGTACTGGTCTAGGCAGACCAACTGTCTGGCAATACATGGAACTTGCAGGTGCTGGTGTTGTTTATTTACATGTTCCAGGGCATTCAAAATGGATTCTGGTGCTAAATTGTGGTGATACTTGGCTTGCATTAAGCCCTGTTTAGGAGTGCAGAAGTTCAGCTTCCTTTTTGCTTAGTTTTTATTCAAGGTATGTGACACGTTGCAGAGGCAAAGGAAAAGTTGGTTTCCCAGGTGTAAGTTTTCCCACTAGGGATTCAGATAACTATTTTTGATACATTTAGCCTTCTTGCATCCAGTCTCAGTTGTTTTCCCAGCTTGTTAGCAGGTCTTAGCAAAGAATCCCTTCCGTGAGTGCCCAGCCTTTCCTCCTTCTCTTGACCCCTCGTCTAGTTGTTCCTCTCTCTTTTCATTTCCTCTCAGTCAGCCAAGTGTCTCCAGCAACAAAAGGCACTCAAGCACCTGTACAAGGGTCTATTGAAAGTGCTTATTCAAAGCCATTGCCAGGATTAGCAAAGGCCAAACCACTAAAGGGCCAGTTCAACGCAGTCTCTGTTCCTGGAGATTGCAGCACTAGTCTGGATATCTGACAACAACAGTCTCCTTTGTAAAATTTCTGGTGCCTCCTGCCCCGTGCCAGTCTGTCTCCTGAGGCTTTTGGTCTTGGTTGGATCCAGGAAGCTGCAGACAAAATAGCTAGACTGAACTTTGAATTCAAGCCACACAAACTGTTAAGTTTGATCTGCTGCTGCTTTTTTTAAAAAAATTAAAAAATCCACCACTGTTTTAACCCTTACTGGCTAGAACAGCAGCATCTTGGGATCTTAGCCTTGTTGTGGGGTCCCTCTTTCTCAGTTGAATTTTGTCAGGTTTCTGCAGCAAGATGTGCCATTTTATGGTCATTTTCTCCCTTTAGGACAAGCTGGTTTACCACCAGCGAAGCAGCCAGGCTCTCCCCCCAGGTCTCTATTTGGGTTACCTGAAGCTCTGTAGTGCTGTTGACCAGATCCGAGTGTTGGTGCCTGAACGTTTACCCAACATATTATGTCATGTGAAGATACGAAGCAACCCAAACATCTCCAGGTAGGGCTTTCAATCCAGGCCTGCAGCATAAATTGATGGACAAGGTTATTTCTTAATCCCATTGTGCTCTACATCACTTGCTCTCAGTCAGAGGGTTAGAGGTAGGGAGATCCCTTGTTGGTTTGACTACAGCTAAATGGGTACGGTCAAGAGAAATGGAAGAGAGAATATATGGACAGGGCAGGCAGGTTTGCCAGCAGGTTGAGATGGTGATGTTAAAAGAAGATCTTTCCAGATATCTGATGAATTGCTCATTAAATGATGTTATATGTACTAAGTAAGGAAAAGTCACATACTGAACTGAGATCTTTTGGCTGCATATTAATCATGTGATAGCAGCTCCAGGTGGTATAACCAATCTGTGACTTCTGAAGCAACTGCAGGTTCCTATTCTGATCTCAGACTATGGCAGTGAGATATTTTTAACTCTCTCTGCTCTGCTGGCTCATGGGTCCAATATAAGAACTTTAGGGTTGTATACCTTATACCACCTTAGTGGTCCAAAAATGATTCTCCCCCCCCCTGCTCCTAGCTCTTTGCCCTAGTTCCTGCCAAGTGAAAAGGCCAGGTTTCATGTCAAAAGTCCATATTTATTCCCATACTAAATGCCCTCATGATATGCAGCCGTTGAGGGTTTCTTTAGACATCACACATTTCCTACATGAAAGCACTTCCAGAAGAAGTGTGAAAATGCATGTCCTAGCAAGCAACAACATAATCATGTACGTTTTTTTCCTAGGCATTTACTGCATGTAAGCTATCTGTGCATTTATCCCTATGTCTTCTTTTCAAGGGAGGAATGGGAGTGGCTGCAACACCAAGCCAGTGCGGAGGAGTCAATTCCCACAGAGCAAAATCTCGAGACCACCCAGAATCTCTTCCTTCAGGAGCTTCAAGTGGCAATCAAAGAGCTGATGCAATTGGTCAATATCCCACTGCATGAGGTAACTTTTAGGTGGGGCTGTATTGTGTGTGTGAGGAGAAAGAGGTATTGCTGGTTTTGTAGCTCAGTGAAACATTACTGCACTGGCGCTAGTTCACATTTTTTACATTTCTACTTCATATCATGAATATTAAGCCAATATACAGATAGAAATTATTCTTTATAAGCAAGAACAATGTAGCTAAGAGTGAGCCCTACACTGAAATAATTCCCATTCTGATGCAGATTCTCTGTACTGCAGTGTAAGCAGCCCCTGCTCAAGCAGTAGTGCAAACTGTAAGATAGGACTGCACCTCAGAGAATGTCTAAAGTAGGTCAACTTTATAAATATTGGCTAAAACTATTGTACCTAGTTTTCTTGGCATGATTAAACAAAAGAAGCCTGCAAGATGAACCCCTGGGAGTGATTTTTTTTTAAAAAAAGGTTTAAATATTGGGGGGGGGGTATTCTACCCCATAGGATTAGGAGAGTCTGACAGCAGCAGAAATGACAGTCTAAACATTAGATCCTGCTATCCACCTCCCAAAAGTTCATTTGCTTCTTATGTAAAGCCTGTTGGCCTTCTGTTACTTTGCCAAAACTTAGTAAGAATGTATCTATGAACAATGGCAAAGATCTAAAAGGATGTCTTTAAGAAATATCCCAATATTGTAGGAAAAAGCCATTTCAATTCAAAGCTGCAAAAAGATGGTTTCAAAGAATCGTCCTTCATACATGTTCAACTGGTTGCTAAGTTGTGGCTGTACATCAATAAAACACTGCCTTCTCATGTTTGAATTCTACAGGCCAAAGATTTTCGCCTGTACAGTCAAGAAGTTCTGGACTTCGGAGGACAGGTCTCATTTCTCCTCCTTCTGCCTCCCTCCGAGGATGTGTGTACTGCCCCTGGCCAGAACAATCCTTACACACCTCGGTCTGGCTTTCTCACACTTCCACTTCAGATCTTTGAGCTAGGTGAGAATGGCTGCATGGGGACACTTTGGGATGTATCAGTTTTGTTGTCCTCTGCTTCCTTCTTCTTCACAAAGGGACTGTCTCATGTCAACCTTAATCCAATGAGTTTCTTAAAAAGTACTTTAAAAATCTTTTAAGTGATTGGGACCTCTAAAGGTCTTAATCCAGCCCTGGCCTGAGGACCACATATATACCAATTTTTTTCAGGTTGAAGGCTACATTGACCCATGGCTAATCCTCTGGACCAAATTATGAAAATAGGCATGGCTACAGTGTAAAAGTGGGTGTGGCCCCCTTTTAAGGACATAAGTGGGTGTCACAAAACCTTTTCCCCATCAAATTATCACAGTGGGGGAACCATGGGAGCAGTCTTTTTAAGGTGGACACATTTTTTTAAGCATCATGGCACGACACTGCGGAACTTAAAAACTTTTTTTAAAAGTTCAAGTTTTTTTAACTTTTTCTTTTAGTAACAAATTGAGGTTTTTGGGGGGGAGGGGTATATATGAGATACATGTTGGCCACTGCAATAAAATCAAACAAATATTGATAGTCCAAATTCATCTGTGAGCTTTTTTCTACTTTATATATAGCTCCAGTTCTGTTGGCAATGATTAGATCTGCTTCTGTGATGGTCCCCTGGTAATCCTTGACCCCCTCCTCTCCCTTTGTTTTCCAGTTCATTTTTTCACTTATGACCACGAGTTCATTAGTCAGTATTGCCAAGTGTCTGCCCTCTTGGAGCTGGAGTCACTTCTCTCTCAACAGAGCCTCAGAGAGGCCTTCTCAGACTCAGAATTAACTACTGCCAAGCAGAGGCATCAACAAGTTCAGGACTATATACAGGTATGTTACAGAGGAATAGTAGAAAGTATTGAGTGTGAGATGCTTGGCATGATATGCTAGGCAACAAATTGCTGATCCCCTATATAACCAATCCAATATATCCTCTTTACATGGCTAATTGCTGGAATATAGCTTTCTTGCTTTGGGATTGCATGCAAAATGTTTCCAGTAAACAGGGGATTAACAATCTCACTGCCCTAGGACAGGCAAGGTCACATGGAACCAAAATGATTGTATCAGTCAACTCTGGCTCCATACCTTGCCTGCCCTGCCTTAAGACAGAGCTTTTTACAGATCCTGCTTCTTATTCCTTCATGGTTTTTTATTCTTACTTTGCCAGCTCCCGGTTCCTTATTAATTTGCTTTTTTTCCTGCCTGTTGTCTAAAATAAAAGGGAAGGGAAGGACAAGTATATCCAGTCAAGCACCTCTTCACAATCCTCCCTCCATAGTGATGGCATCCAATACCAGTCTCCTCTCCTGGGGAAGGATGGTTCAGGGGATGTGAAACGATCATGAGTGACCTCACAGCATAGACTAGCTGGAGTTGTGAGTGATCTTATTCACCCTTTTAGGCCTTTGCATGACAGTTTCACTTTCACCTATGGCTTAGTCCACACCATAACAGTGAAAGTGCACCTGAACATGCAAGGAGCGACATGCCACACAGGTCTGTATAGCAGCAGGAGGAATCCTTCCTGCTGGGTGACTTTGGTGGAGGCCAGCCTTCTCTACAAGAATGACCAGCACATCAAGGGCCCTGCAAATGTGCAGACTTCCTCAGCAAGCAGAGAGTGGAGTTTCCCTAGTTAGTATTAAGTCAAGTTCAGCAGTGGTTCAGGAGATCATGGACAACCACAAGTTCTCCTGGTTTTTGGATGAAGGAGCAGAGGGGTTGGGCACCCTAAATCTTCAGTGACAAGAGGATTTCTATATGCCTTTCTGTGAATCTCACTGATTTCCAAGATGTTGAGGAAGAAACCCACATCATCCTGGCAAGTACCTTTTTGGTCCAGTAGACCTTTGTTTTTCAACCTCCTTCACCTGGCATTTCAGGGTATGTGGCAGCAATGACCTATTAACCCAGAGGCATATATACCATCCAGACCCAGCCTGGCTAACACTAACTGCTTGGTAGCTGAGCCGCAGACCTTCTGCAAATTAGGGTCCTTGAAGCAGATCCTTCCTGTTCTGCTGTCATATAGATGCCCAGCCACACTTTGAAAATATATAGCAACATGATACTGGCTGTTCTAGGGCAGTGGGAGTGTTAGTTCACTGTTTACTGGATCCTGCTGCATATACCAGAAAGAACATTAGTAGTAAGTAACTAACATCGTTTTATAGGATAGCTCCTACCCCAGAACTCCCACTTTTGTTTCTTACTAGTCAAAGCATCTGGCTGGTGATGCCAGCATGCTTTCAGCTGTGTTGTGCTGCGTTAAGATTTATTTATTGTCAATAATGAAGGATCTCAAAGGCATGCAGCAGCTCTAGCCAGCAAGCCCATCTAAGTGTTAAGCTTGTCTCTTGTCAAATCCAAATGTGTCCTCTAGAAGTGACTCCAAAACTTTTCCCCCATGGACCACTTGAAAATTGCTGATGGTCTTGGCAGACCAATTAATGCTTTTTCTTCCTGTTGTAGCAATTGTAAATCACTGTGCTTTTAATTGTATTTTTATTCTTTTATTTTTTTTTATATTGTATTACAATTTGAATTACATTGAATACCAACTGTAACACAATAAAATACAAAATAAGAAAGCATGCAATAATAATACAATTAAAAATCAATATGAATATTTCATGCAATGGATGGGCCATCTCCTGTCTTCAACCACAAATCCAAAGACATGCTGTGGACCACCAAAATGAAGCTTATCTGCCTGAGATTGATCTTAACTGCCTGGCAGTTTGAATGCAAAGGGCCAAGATGTGAGGGAATTTCAATGACTGTTTAAAAAGAAATTGATCTTATGCCACTTTCTATTATGGCCTTGGGTAAATTTACTTCTCTGCAAAATCCTGAATTCAGGGAATAAGTACGGAGTGGGGATTAGAGGGGGAGTTATGAGAAATGACGCAATCCTAGGAAAGTGCTCCTGTTTGAGACATGTTCAATGAATGAACCCTATTTATCCAGATTGGTAGCACAGCACAGCAGTTCTTAAGGAGTTTCAAGGAATGTGTGGGGTAGTTTCAGGGCTGTAAAAAGTTACCCATGCCACACCAAGTGACTACATCCCAGTGTGCATAAGCTCTACATGTGTATTAACATAAGCATATAGAAACCAGATCCACCCCACATGGAGGATCTTTAAGAGCATCCATCAATATGTGTGTACAACTCCTTCTCATACAAAGATGGCAAAATTTGTGGCTAGCCTGCTGCACAGCCTCCTGAACGATTTTTCAGTGTCAAAAAAGGAGCTGATTCTGTGTCTTTCTCTTGGACAGCAAATGGAGGAGATTTGGCGAGAAATGCGCTGGATGATGGATGCATTGCAGCATGCCCGGTACAAGCAACCTTCTGGTGGCATCCCACTCACATGGTTTCTTGAAGAATCTAGCATTGTACTAAAGGAGAAAACACGATCAACCTCTTCCCATTTGGACTTCCTTCCCTCACCTACCCCTTCTCCTGAAATGAGCCGCAAGTTCAACTCTGGTGAGAGTTTCCTTTGCATTTTTCTGGACTTTTTATAACTGCTAATCAATCCCCTCTCCTAGTCCAGCCCTCTGCTCTAACATGTTATCTAAAACCTCCCCAGTAACTGTCTGGACAACCTCTTCTGGAAGTATTCTGACAAGGACATTCTACCATTTTATCTCCCTAGATAGCTTATTCTCGCTTATTCTCTTTGCCCAGATGTTTTTCAAAATCCATTTTACAGATAAATCTGTTTCGCTGAATAAAGGCTCTTTAGGTGGGTGGTTCCCACATTTGGGAAATTGGCAAGTTACCTGTTTTGGATGGGTTTGCATTCCCTCAGAAGAAGTTTGGGGGGGTACTCCTGGATACATCTTTGTCACTAGAGGCCCACGTGTCCCCTGTGACTATGAGTTCCTTTTACCAGCTTCATCTGGTTTGCCAACTATGGCTGTTCCTGGACAGGGATAGTCCATGCACTGGTAACCACTGCAGTCCATGCATTGGTAACCTCAAGGATAGAGTACTATAATGTGTTCTATGTGGGGCTGCTCCAGCTGGTGCAGAATGCTGCAGCCAGATTGCTGATGAGGAGTTTCTAGTCAAGAACATGTGACAGCATTGTTAAAAGAGCAGCACTGGCTACCCACCTATTACCGAGCCAAGTTCAAGGTTCTTGTATTGATTTACAAAGCACTGAACAACTTGGGTCCAGGGCACTTTGGGGATCGTTTGAACCTTTGTATTCCAGCTCGATCACTGAGATCATCTGCAGAAATATCTATGGTCGTTCCCTGAATTGATGAGGCTCATTTGATAACCACGAGAAATCAAGCCTTCAGTGTCCTCAGTCCAGTCTTGTGGAACACCCTGCCAATAGAGATTCAGTGGGCACCTTATGTGTCAACTTTTCAAAGCTTGCTGAAAAATTTTCTATTCCACCAGGCCTACGCAGACAATTAATAGTACATGCCCACAATGGTCTATTGATGTTTGTTTTTAATTTCTTTCTGCTTTTACCTTATTTTTAACATTTATAATTTTACTATTTGGTTTTCTGTTTATATTGTTGTAAACCGCTGTGATGTATTTTTTATGATACAGCGGTATAGAAATATTTTTATAAATAAATGCTTCCTTTTCTTTGCTATAGATTTCCTTGCATTTATCTACTTTATAGGCCTTTACATATGAAAGCAGTCTTTCCCTCCTTAACCACTGCATGTAAAGCTGAAGGTGCTATCACAACTTCCATTATCTAGACCAAGTTATCTTTGTCACAAGCATTTTAATAAGAAAACTTCTATCATTAACCTTGATGAGGCCTTCCAGATATCCTGACAGCACAAATTTAGAGTTGTCGGAATCTGATGCATTGTAATCTTTAATATAATTTCTAGTACCTCTTGCCAGCTACTTGTTAGTAACGACACCTAAACTATTCACCTCCCTTGTACATATATATTTTCTAGAAAAATGAGGAAGGCATGTACAGAATCTGTTTCAGGATTGTGGGATAAACATGTTCCAGGCAAAAATGGTTAAAAATTGGCAGTGAAAAGAAACTGGGCAAAAGTGGAGTGGCAAGAGTGGAGTGTCAGAATCCCTTTTGCTCAAATCTTAAAAAGAAAGAGGAAGGAGACTAGATTGGGGAGAGACTCACAAACATCATTGGCCAGATAATCACTTCCAAGTACCGTATTTTTTGCTCTATAAGACTCACTTTTTCCCTCCTAAAAAGTAAGGGGAAATGTGTGTGCGTCTTATGGAGTGAATGCAGGCTGCGCGGCTATCCCAGAAGCCAGAACAGTGAGAGGGATTGCTGCTTTCACTGTGCAGGGATCTCTCTTGCTGTTCTGGCTTCTAGGATTCAGAATATTTTTTTCGTGTTTTCCTCCTCCAAAAACTAGGTGCGTCTTATGGTCTGGTGCGTCTTATAGGGCGAAAAATATGGTAAACTGATGATGTTGTGTTCTTGCCCATAAATACTTTAAACAGGTTACATCCTCCAGGATTTTACAGGTAACGCAACTGACATTCAGTTTGTGTTACCAGGAAAACAACCTGTCAGAGCAAGATTGGCCATGAGCCAGAGGTTTCTCACCCCTGCTCTAGCCAATAAGAACTCCCAGGCTTGGAGTAGAAAAAGGTTTGACCCTCAGGTCCACTTGTACAGCTTGTTTGAGTGAATTACTGCACATTCTTCCAAGATAATTCCCTGATAAAGAAGTAATCTTTTTATCATTTTCTTTCAGATTCACATGGAATCTCAGATGAAGAGGGCTCATCAGAAGTATTCTTAGCTACAGACAGTGACTATGACTCCAGCAGAGCCCAAAGCCCCAGAGAGCTTGACCTTCTTTACCCCTCTTCAGGGCCTGAGTACTGCACTAGAAGAAATCCACGCCCTTTGAGGGACAGCGCCCCTGACGTCCTGCAGAACCATGAGCTAAAGACACCCCCTATTCCTCCAGAGGAGCCTCGGCCTCCCCCAGAGCTTTATGACAGTGACTTTGTGCTTCCTAGTCGGCAGATAGAGCTGCTGCGCATCACAGAGAAGAGGCAGGCCTACTGTGTCCGCACCAGCAGCCTGGATTTCCCAAAACCCCTTTGCCATGGGGCCAGAAAGTCTTGCCCTGGCTCTGTTGACAGTTCACCAACTGAAAGCAGAACTGCAGGCCGTTGCAGCCCTGTGAGACTTGGGACAGGCTCAGAATTCAGCCCCAGGCATGGCTGTCCTGCAGGGAGCTCTGAGCCTGTCTTTCGGACACGCTCAGTGGAATGGACTCGGACCTTCCAGGAGGCAGCAGATCCAGGACATGTAGCAAACCGGGTCAAGTCAACAGGCTCCTTCGCCTTACGTGTGTGCCCTCAGTACGAAACAGGGCTCTCCAAAGAAACAAGCGTTAAGGTATCATTAAAATCCTGGTCTTGGCTCATCAATACAATAGTGCAGTACTGAAAATGGAGGCAACACTTTCAGGAAGAAGATGTATTCCTTTTTCCTAGATTTGGCTATGTGACCCTTCCCCTTCCTGATACTTTCCATTAAATGGGTTTCTCACTTGCTTCTTTTGGGGCTGCGTCCCAGAACTGGCAATGGTAGTGTCAGTAGGCCACAGAGAATTGGAATGCTGTTGTTAATTATTCCATATGATCTGAGGATGCATCCAGACAGCAGCTCCCTGTACTTTTACTTTTGCACTTGCAAAAAGAATATGTATTATGTTTATTAGATTATACATCCTTTTCACTATAAAACCACACTATAGACACAACCTAACATGTCCCGAAACATAATGTTCCTGCCTCCGGTACCTTATTTATTTATTAGCAGGTAGTGCTGTGGTCTAAACCACTAAGCCTCTTGGGCTTGCCAATTGGAAGGTCAGCGGTTTGAATCCACGTGATGGTGGTGAGGTCCCGTTGCTTTGTCCCAGGTTCTGCCAACTTAACAATTCGAAAGCACACCAGTGCAAGTAGATAAATAGGTACCACTGTGGTGGGAAGGTAAACGGCGTTCCGTCATTGCTTCCGTCATGGTGTTGCATTGCACCAAAAGCGGTTTAGTCATGCTGGCCACGTGACCCAGAAAGCTTTCTGTGGACTAACACCAGCTCCTCAGCCTGAAGCGAGATGAGCACTGCACCCCATAGTCACCTTTGAGTGGACAACTGTCCAGGGGTCCTTTACCTTTACCTTATTTATTGGGGATTATTTCCAGTGAGTTGTTCATTTCCACATCAGCCAGGTTCAGTTGTTGAGCTTGCAATGCTGATTGTGGCTTGCAATGTTGCACTTTTATGGTGGTTAATTATGATGCTCTTAACTAAGGGCTTCATGAATCATAAATAGCCAAATTTCAAATGGAGTAAATGGGGTGGAGATGTACAGTGTAGATCTGAACATGGTATGGTATTACAGTGTAGCCTTCAGGATGTAATAATATGAATGCACTAGGCATCAATTGACTTGTTAAGGATTAACCTTCCATCCACATCCCGAGTCATATTGGTTCAGACTATGGACCAATAAACTTTACCATTCTGGCTAACATTTGTTCTGAAGATAAATCACACTGCAGTCACTGGAGCAAAGAGCTTTGTAAAGATTCCATTCGGGTGTAGATACATAGATTGCACTGGGTTGACTATGGGACACCAGGGCATCGTCTCTGTTGTCCTCTCTTCCAGACCTTGTGACTAAGGAACTATTCACCATAACATAACATTTAAAAGAGAATGGTGATTTATGTCCACTATCAAAGGATGTTTTCTAGCATAGAAGGAAGGATGTTGATTGATTAGAGCAGCATTAGCTTAGGAAGGCATTACAGATATAACTGTGGTTTAGGGATTAGGGGTGGGCCATAGGATCCTCTTTCAGAACCAGTGTCCTGAATTAAGGAACACCCCTTAACCAGGGTTATCAAATATCATGCATAAGACCAAATAGGTTAGAGTAGGGAGAGAGGCATTTGTTTCTGGGAACAGATAATAGTGTGTGAGCCCATGGCCTCCTTTGATTCTTCTTTGAACCTATGGTTGTGTGTAATGTCAGGGCTGAACTTCAGTCTGGCTTCACAGTGTCTATATTTTGGACAGTCAGATAAAATGAATAAACAGATAGGAGACAATGTTTGTTAAAGAATTATCATATAGAGCCCAAATGGGTGGCAGTCATATACTCTATATCGTTCTAGGTGGTTGTAGCCATGACTGGTATGTAGCCCAAGTCAGTGAAATTTTTCTAGAAAAAGAGGTGCTAAAACTCATCATGAATGCCTCCCTTGCTTTCTTATAATGGCAATGGTGCCCACCTGAGAGGTGCTGGAGAGGTTCTGGCGAGTTCCAGCTGAAAAAAAGCCTGGCCTAAGCTTGACTCAAACCTAAGCCAAACCTGACCACCTATTCTTGAGTGGTGGTGTCCTGGTGAGTATGGCCATGGCATATAGCTCTTTGCATTCAGACAATATTCCTTGCTATAGAAAGCAAGGGGAAATGATCTGGATTCTTGATGGACTGCAATCTTCCAAACCTGCTTTCATGGTATCACTATTTCTGTCCTCATTTCTCACTGGTATGCTCCTAAAAAGAGTGATCAGGCAACTTTTATGCCACATCAGCAGAACATCTTCAATGTTCTGCTCTTTTTGGCATGGCCAAAAGTCCTTTTCCTGTTTATCCAGAAGGCCTGTGGACACCAATACTATATGCTGATCTCAAATTGAATCTAGGATAGCTCACCAAATTCAATTATGCTAGAGTACAGTGCCCTCAGTTTTTATTCTTGTGGGACAGGAATAAGTTTAGGAAGACACGTTAATTTCTCAGTAAGTATTTGGCTTTATTCTTTAGGGGGAGCCAGCTTATTTGAGTATACCCTCGTCTTTCTTTGTCCTTCCTCTTGCTCTTACTTACCTCTATTTCTGCACAGCTGCACCTCACCAACAAGATGTCGGCAGAAGATGTGGTGAAGCTGGTGGTGCAGGAGATGAACGAGGTCTCACGCGATGTCCTGGGAAATGCAGATGCTTTCTGCTACAGTGAAGACCAATTGGAACACTTTGGACTAGTGTTCGTGTCAGATGAAGTTGAGCAGTGGCTTCCAAATGACTTCCTGCCCCTCTCGCTCCACAAGGCTTGGCCTGATGGGAGGTTCTATGTTCGGATCAAAGAGACTTCCCCTCTCCTGTTTCAGTATGGGCCAGCAACAACTGTATGAGAGGAGGAGGAATGGATTGGATTAGGAAGGAAAAGTGAAGAATATCCAACTTCCAGTGAGCAGAAAGCTCAGCACTAATGCTTCCTTCTTGAAAAGAAACTTTTGTGCCAGACACCACAGGCCAAAATAGGAGCATACTGGGCAGTGTGTTGCTCTGTGGTGTGTGTGTGTGTGTGTGTGTGTGTGTGTGTGTGTGTGTGTTGTTTTAACCAAAGACGTCAAGATTTGTTTGTTATGACTCCTAAGATCTGTGGGTGGGGTACAGGAGCCTTTGGGATAATGGAATTAAATTTGTGAAGACACTTTTTGCAAGGAGAAGAGCCGGTTGGGGATAAAGAAGCAATACTTAATTATATTTTTCATTCTGAATGTTGAAGGGAGGGAGAGAATGTGACATTGAAGGATTTTGACTGAAGTGGGCCCAGAGTTGGGGCCTGGAGGTGGGAGGAGCACAGGGAGCTCACAAAGACTTCATGTTTTGTTATCTGTGTTCTCATTGTACCTGGAGAAATATGAAATTGCACATAGTTCTTTGAAAAATGTATTTTCATTTTCTTAATTCCACCTTAAATATACACAGCACAATTTATAAAATATGTTCAAACTGTGCAGGACTGTAAGGCCCTTTCTACTGTTGGGAGAGACAGACAAGACTTTAAATCTGGACTAGAACCTTCTCTTAGGGGTAAGATTAAGCCAACCTTTGAGCTCACCAGAAAAAGGCACTCCCTGCTGCCCCAGGCTGGATGTGTTGTGGGTCTGGAAGAAGGTTCCTGAGAACTCTGCTTTCTTTATTTTCAGTCCTATAGTTTCTCTTTTATTTTTAAGCAGCTTTGCTTTCCGCTTTCCCCTTTCCTCTACCTAGGCAAGAATCTAGAAAGGAGCACAAGGAAAGGATTGTTGCATATTAGGTCTAGAGTTAACTCCTCTCAGGAAGCTATTCACTTGCCTACCTTCCCCTACAGTGTAGGGAAGCAATGCTTCTTTCTTCCATCTCCCAGCAAGCAGTTGAAGATTGTAAATGAAACACCTATCATGTAAGCCAGATGTTACCCTTCCACAGAAGCAGAAGTAGCACTAGACATGGGCTACCACTCCCATATATGCACAGTTGGTCTAAATCCCATGACTAGTCACACCACACACCCAAGCAGTTGAGAAGCAGGAAAATACCTCAACAAAGATCATTCCTACCTTCCCTCACAGCAGTGCATAGCCCATGCAATTGAGCATTGACTACAGTACCCTTCCCCACTCTAGAAAAGGTGGTAACAAAGTTTAGTGCCAAAGTCAAGAAGATCCTCTCTTCCTTCTTTTCCCTTCTGTCCAATCCTACCAGCTGACATCTGCCAAGGCACTGATTCTCTTCTGTCCAATCCCATGAGAAAGAAGCAGAGAATATCTGAGGAAGAAATGATTCTCCCAAGGTTCATGTGAGCCACTTTGGGTGGAGAAAGTACAAAAAGTCCTGATCTCTGGACGGCAAGCTTAGAGCACCCCTTTCCACACAAAAAACTTTCCTGCACTGAAGGAAAGAGGCTGCAGAGGGAAAGCAGCTGATTAAGAGTTAAATAATGCTAACATTCTCCAATTCTCTGCTGCAGATCATGTCTGCCCGGCAGCTGTTCCATGAAGATCTAGTGTGAACGTCTTTCTTTCTCTCAACCCCCCTGAGACATTTGTCTTGCATGCAGAAGGTCCCAGGTTCAATCACCAGCATCTTCAGGTACTGTTAGGAGAGACTCCTGCCTGAAACCTTGGAGAGCTGCTACCAATCAATGTGGACAATGTTTAGCTAGTTGGACCAATTTTAGGTTTTAATATAATGTAAAATAAAATAATAATAATAATAATAATAATTTATTATTTATACCCCACCCATCTGGCTGGGCTCCCCCAGCCACTCTATGGACTGCTTCCCTTCTAGAAGCTTAAGTTCCCATTCCATGCCCTCACAATTTTTTTGACTCCATCTTATTCCAGAATTAAGGTCAAATTCCATTTATAAGATTGTTCTCCTGTCCTACTAGAGAGTGGGATATTCCCATTCACTGAAAAACACCCTGAGTTAGATTACAAAGGCTGCACAAGGGGAGGGGGGCATAATCATTTGTAGCACTTTGACAGCTTAAATCAGCTCTGCAATCTGAAAGACCTTTTGTTTTACATTAAAAAGAAGAGAGAGGTACCCAATCTGAGACCAGGTGTAACTGTCCCTAGGCGAGCTGTTACTCACTTTTTAATAAAAAATGACCTGTACACTCATTCTGAGAAAAAGAGGGTGGGATGGATCTATGAAAACAGGATCCTTGGCTCAGTAACCCAAGGGGACCTGATCTCTTTCCTCAGTGTCCAGGCAAATATTGCCCATTTCCCAGATCTTTCTAAAATCATAGCATTTAGAAAGCTAGCCAGCCATATCTTTTGTGATACTATAAGCTGTAAGCAACTGAAGCAGAGCATTTTCCTAATTTTTCTTTTCCAACTACCACTCAACATTCTGTAACTACTGAGCATGTTCTGGCTTCATCAAGCTACTTGCTTTAGGTTTTTCTCCTTAGTTTTTTGTAAATGTCTGTAGTTCTGCAAACTACTCAAAAATTTACAAGTGGGTGCTCTTATAGCAGCTTTGATGTCAATGACAGCCATACCATACCAGGTGAAAGGGGTCTCTTGACTTCCTGTTTCCTGCCAAGGGAAGTGGCTGCCTCCCATGAGATTAGACCCACAGCAGTGCAAGAAATTCAGGGTTAATATGAGTGTAATTAGCTCTGTTGACCCCCCCCAGGGTAGGGGGGGACCTGCTGCCCGCAGATCGTCCATTATCTGCCTCACACAACAAGATGTGGGGCCTGGGACGCTGGGTGATGCATGGCACAAACTAGGAACTCTCCAGAGTAAATCCCACGAGCAGGAGATACCTGTTTTCTAAAAATTAAAAAGATTTGGACAAAAAACAGGTGTGTTCTGGACGGAAAGAGATAAAAGAAAAATCTGCTAAACTACACAGTCACTGAAGGTTAAGTTTCGGACTTCAAAAAGGCTCCCATCTTGGCATGTTGATTAATGAGGTGAGGGGCTGCCGTACTTTTGTATTTGTTATATTTGCTATTTCATGATTTGGTGGACCTTGCCAAGAAAGAATTAATTATCCAAGGAAACGAAAGAAGTGTAAAATTAATTGGCTGGATGGCACCACAGTCCTCAGCGGAGAGCCCTAATCAAAATTGGCAGAGTAAAATCAGATATGAAAGTGGCTCAGGCTAAGGAGGGAAAATGGTGGCGGTAGCAGTTGTGATGCAGAAAGAAAAAGGAGTCTCCTTTATCTGAGGGAGGCTGGAGATACTTTTTATTTGAACCACAAAAGGGATGTACTTTGCAAAAGATGCATTTGCTTGCATGGAATATTTTAATATATGGTTTGGAGAGTGATGGTGAATTCTGGATGCCTGCCAGCTTTTCTAGGGCCCAGGAAAGCTGGCGTGGTTATTTCTTGGGGAAACCAGAAACAATATTTATATAACTGACTGACTGCCAAATACATCCCATGATACAGTTTGAAACATCAGCTTATTAAGAGATATCAAAGACAACATGGCGTCATTAATTTTAATCTTGGATGGAAGCCCAAAGCCTTTCAGAGCAAGAAATGGCAGAGAAAGGAGGGGCTATCAAAAGAGGACTGTGCTTCAAAATAATATGACTGAGAACAACATGGAATACAATTTACCTCCTTATTATAGAAATTATAGAAATATGGATTCGTCAAACACAGAGAGCCACATATCAGCAATTGGTGGACTGAGAGATGAGGATAGTTAATATCAGGATTAGAAAACTGGGAAACAACCAAGAAGAAAGCAGAAAATAAATGAATGACATTATCTCTTGAAATTCAGAACATGGGAATCCCCCTTTGAAATTATTTTAATTGGCTGTATTTTTTGTGTTTTTTAATGTGGTAAGATTTGGTCTGTTTTGTTATTAATATGATTTTTTTTATTGGAAAATGAATAAAAATTATTTACAAAAAAAGAGAAAGGGGTCCCTTGAGAACTTCAGTGACAAGTACAGAGCAATACTTCTCAAAGTTGGGGGCCTCAGCCTTGATGATACAAACATCTTCTTTATTTTGGATGTATCCCACCCTTCCTCCGTGGAACAAAAGGCAGCATGCAAAGGGTTTGTAGGTGGTCTCTCCTGTCCAGGCCTAGACCTGCTTAGCTTTTGCAAAGTGGCTGCATCCTATGACTTCATCAAGGGCCTTAAGACTAATTCCATTTGCCAAAGCAGTTCATCTTTGGGTGGCAAATCTTACTGCTGCAGAACAGAAACATTCAAAACCATCTAGGATGAATGTTAGATCTCCCTCATAATTATTGTGCTGATGGATTCTTCCACAGATGCTATGTAACTTGGAACATAATGCAATGCTTCCAATATAGTAGAGCACAAGAACTTTAGACTTTAAAAAAGTTCATTGTTTATACATACTCTAACATGTTTGGCCAGCTATCCTTTTTGAGGGTTGTATGGTGTTTGGGCTCCCTTTGAAACTGCTCAAATTGAGATAAGGCTAATACAAAATCCCTCCGTATGGCTAAGAAGATAAGATTCACACCCAAACAAGTCATTTCAGGTCTTCAAGCCATTCTACAAATCCAAGCAATCTAAAAGCTTCATTTTCAAACATGCCAACAAAGTAAATATTCTATCTGCTCCTATAAACTAGTCCCATATCCCATGGGGAAGGAAAATATATTACTCTTCTTGCCACCAGTCCCCCCCCCCTCTTGTAACAGATAGAGGGTGGTCTCTGGCACTTTCTTCCCAGGTGATTCAAGTCCACATCAGTTACCTAAGCACCAACAAAAGTCAGGAAGAAGGATGTCGAAGAGTTTCTCAAAATCCTCATGGGTTGTTTCATTGAATCTGCTATCTCGGAGGCAAGATTATGTAGAATACAAAAATAAAGGTGAACAAACTATGTCCAGGAGCCAAAGTAAACATCAACAACTTCTCAAAGCCACGCAGCAACTCACAGACATTCAAGCCATAGAACCAGCTCTCCTTTCCCAAACACTTTAGTTATTCTTATAGTTTAAGTGATCTGCTTGATTTAAACAGACTCAACAAGTTTCTAATTCTAGTTTGGTTTTGTAAACTAGTACAATGAATGAGCTGTCTTGGACCCAGAGGAACCAGATATTTCCATCCACTCATGAGCCATTCAACACTCATACCAAGCAGACTCTGTGGAATTCTCAACTTCTGGAGAACATGATATTCTGCCAGGTGTAAAAGCATAGACCAAGTTTCATGATGGACTCCGGTATAAGATGTTTCTCTTATTCCAATAACAGATTGCAATGTAGGCTCATGTCAAAAGTGCTTGGTGCCTGGATTGACTGGCTTCGGAATGGAAGTTTCAGGGATTATCTCTTGTAAATCCACCACATTCTTATCACCATGGATGTGAGCCTCTTTGGTTGAGGAGCTCAACCAAAGATGGCCCAGAGAACATGGTTGGAGTATCAAATGAGCACCAGCAGCCTGGAACCCAGAACGATCAAACTGTTGCTGCTGCTGTTCCAACTGCAAATACAGATCAGTCCTATGTCCACACAATTACTGGGCAAAGATGTGCATAAACATGCAAGAAGGAATTCAATCAACACCGTTACACCCAGACTATAGAAAATAGACTGAATGGGAGAATAGCCTTTCCTCCAGATTGAAATACATGAGAATTCTTAATTTAACAGAAGACTGGCTCAGCAAGCAGAACACCCTACAGTCTTTCGGTGTTCCAGCTGATAGTGATGTCAGTGATGAACCTCTTCACAAAGTTCAGAAAACAATCTGCTAGACATATTTACAATCACTGTCCCCTAATGTGGGATGCTCCCATTGCATTGATCTAAAAAACCTCATGCATTTACTTCTTTCCCACTTCTTCCTCAATTTAGCAAGTTTGGATCTGACACAGTAAAGTAATCCTGGGGAACTTTCTTTTGGTATTGGAGACCTTGGTTTTCAGCATTAGCCCTTCTGTCAATAAGCAGAGACTGGAAGTTGCAAGCAAGTCAGGCCTTCTGTTGCAAGGGCTGGCATTTCACCTGCAGCCAAATCTGTTACCAATTAGCAGCCTAGACATTGTGGAACAGGCATTAAGGGGCATGAATTATTTGAGTAATTTCCTCTGCTCTCTTTTCTTTTGCAAGGGATTCCACCAATAGAAATACTATTGAGATACAGTACTTTGAAAGTCTTCAACTGCATTACCAGGAAGAGCTTTCACCTGGAAAAAGGGCAAAGCAAATTATGTTCTGAAGTTTCTTCACAAACTTCTAAAGAAAGGACTCAGTACAAATACCTTTAAGGGACAGGTCTTAGTCCTGAGTGAAGTCCTGAGAATTTTCATCCTCACATACATAGGTTTCCTTAAGTAATCCTTCACCGGTATATGGATATCCTACTTGGAACTTCAACTACACACTCATGATTTGATCAGTCCTCTCCAAGTTTTCACCTAGTGTTCCCCTGGAGGGGATTCTTTTAAGATAGTTTTTTCCATCACTTTTGCTTGGAGAATCTCAGAGCCTGGGCTCACTGTCCACAAATAAGGATTTCTGTATTGTTCATATGGATAGGACTATATGTCGAAGGGCAATTAACGTTTTCATAGAAATTAGCTTTGCCTAAACCTTGCCCCCCATCATGGTCCATTCTGGAGAAAACTTATCAGAAGGACATTTCTATTCAGTCTGGAAAGCTATTGGGAAGGAGGATCTTTTCATATCCTTCCGGTAGTCCTTCCTGAGTGATTCAATAGTCATTGGTACTTTGTCTAGATTGCTTGATGCCATTATTGGAGCTTTGAAGGCCCTGGGAAAAATTATACCATCTCAAATTACTTCTCATTTCATGAGGAGCACCACCTGCTGTAGTATTTGGGGGCAATCCCCCTTGGAAGTGATTTGCAGAACTGCAGGCTGATCATTGGTTCACATGTTTACCAGACATTATAAAGAGGGTCTTTGTCCTCAGCTGCTGCTGCTGCTGACTTTGGACAAAATGTTCTGCAGAGGGTGCTAATTTCATGAAGTATGCCGGAAACAAACTATAAGTCCACTCAGAGGAGATTACAGCTTTTCTGCATCTCGGATAGAGAGGCATGTCTCTGTATTCCTGAGGGGGAGAGAGAGAGAAATTACTTACTATAAACTCTCATTCTTCTAAAAGTAGGGAGGCTGATCTACCTACCTAGGATTGAGCTTCTGGCAATGATGTATTCAAAAGCACATAAGGGGAAACTACAAATGTCCATATAGAGTTGCCCTGTCTCTTTATTCTTCAGTTCTCTTTGTTTGGTTTTGCATGGTTGTGGTAATACTTTCCCCCTAAGTCTCCATATTTGTTCTTGATGGGGGAGAGCAGGGAACTCCTTCCCTTAGTGAGATCAAAGGTTGAACCTGTCTTCCTACCAGGAGTAGGTGCTATCCCAGATATAGAGACAAGTCTCTGCACTTGTATATGAGCAGAAATCTGTGGTAAGTACAATGTTCCCTTTCATTTTAAAAGAAAAAAAAGAAAAAGAAAAAAAGAAATCAGACATGCGAAATTTGACTTTGCTGTCATAGGTGTGCTTCAAGGCATTGGTTGTGACAACACTTTAGTTCTTAACTTTTCCTTTCCTCTCCTTTGTTGGTGTTTTGTTACTATGACTGTGATTGGCTGATCTTGTACATCCAATAGCATGATGTTTTGTTGGCTGCTAAGCCTCTTTGTTAGCTGCAACTATTATCAAAACTGTGGTCTGTAGTAAACATGGCTGTGCTGCTGAGAGTGATCCCATCTTTCCTTCTTGTGCCATGATGCTGTTTTCATGAATGTCTTCAAACGATGTCACAGAGATAATTCTGAAGTGTAAGTTATGAAGGATGTTGTTGCTTTCCTAGAAAAATAATGCCTGTCCATGCACAAGCATGGAAATAGGGTTGTTAGTCTGTTGTATTTAAATCTGCAAGGAACAGATCATGGACAGAGAGCTGGATCCTCTTTTGCAGTGCTGGAATTCAGAGCAGAAAAAAACAGCCAGTAGGCCTTGAGCAGAAGGATGAGGAAATGAAACCAATCATAATCATACAGGGAAACTGACAAGTCTCCTTTCTTCCAAGCACGATTAAAGTTTTTATAAAAATGAGCTCAGCCCGCAACTGGAGCTTGTGTATATGTGTGTGTATATAAATAACATTGATCCTATCCCCTTTAATTGCTCAAGCTCTCTTTATTTGTAGTTTAGGCTCCAGTCCTGAAACGGTCCATTGGAGTTTCTCTGTGCAGAACTCCCTGCAGGATTGGTGCCATAGTGTCTGCACATGCTGCCATCTTGAGGGTTGCCTGAAGCCATCCGCATTTAAATGTTATTTTAAATAGCATCGCTGAGTGAATCCAATAACACTTTAATGCAGCACAAAGAGCAGAGCACAGCAATAGAATTTAGTCCCTACATCACCAAAGAGCACTGACCAGAAAATCAGCTAGGGTAAACTGATGAATTTGTGGTCTTGCTCAGAAATGCTTTATACATTATTTGGGTTACAGCTTTAGTTTTCAGTTTATAAATTGTTTTGTAGCCCAAACAGCTATGGAAAGGACATAATGCTCACCAGAACAATCCTTATGGGAACAATGGTCCAAAAGTAAACTACGAGTTTGTAGAATAATTCCATACATTTCAATTGCCATATCAAAGTGTGCTTATACATCACATTTACATCCTGCACTTCATCCAAGGAGCTCAAAGTGGTGGTGTTTTCACCTCACAACCCTATGAGGTAGGTTCTGCTGAGAAATAGTAATGCACCTACAGCCACTCAGTAAACTTCATGGCTGAGTGGTGTAATTTGAATCAAGTTGTATCCAAACACAACATCTTAGTCACCACACTGGATTTTACTATTGCACTCACTATCCAGCTATTTCCTCCTATATCTTGATGGAAGACAGGTTAAAGCACAAATCCATTAAATGAGTTGTCTAAAGTGGCAAAGCAAGTCAGTGTCAGAGACAGGATTACAATCAGGGAGTTTCCAAATTCTACACTTTAACCAATTTTGACTCTCCCTGCCATAATTTGAATGCCTTCTTATTAAAATCCAGTGTGATGACACACCAAAAAAAGACAATTGATGCTCCCCCTGCCCCAACATGCATACAGCCAGGTAAAAATTGCTTAGGGGAGAGGGAGGGGTGCTCACTAGAAGATATTGCTGACTCTCGGGGTGGCTTGTCTTCCCTAACAGGCAAAAACAACTGCTTCCAGAGTACACAAGGCATGGCTTCTTTCAAAAGATTTATTATGGGTGGATTGGGTCTGTCACAGCAATAGCTCCTCAGCAGAGGGTAACAGCAGTGATTAAATGACAGTTCTTGTGAGTCTCTCCAACCCACAGCAATTGTGCAGGTTGCAGATAAGAGGAAATCAGTTCCCTACCACAGGACTCCTCAACAAGTAGATTTGCATAAACATATGCTCCCTGTAACATGAATCCAGTATCCTGCTCACTCTGGTCTGAGACTGATCAAACAGCAAACTGGCCAGGGAGAATATAACTTTTACATAGCAAGAGATGGCAAAAAGTGTAATCATCCAGTTGGAGACTTGGTAACAGACATTAATTGTGCCAGTTATTTCAGCAATTAAGAAATGAGGCGGTCAACAAGAGATTCTGATTTTTCTTAACTTCTGTCAAAGTATACATTACTCTAGAATTCCCCATTGATTACTTTAGTTCAATTATCCTACTTGTGACAATGCCTAAACTCCATCTGTGGTGCTGATTACCCTTTTCTGGCTTGATGCTGCATTTATCCCCCACAAAATGGACCTGCCTTGCGCCATTCTCAGCCTAGGCTTTGTTCAGATCTTTCTCTCATGCAATCCTGCATCTTGCATGTTCCAGCCCAGCACAATATGTCTGGATATTATATGACTCAAAGGAGTGATGGATTCTCAAACAACAACAACAACAACAACAACAACAACAACAACAACAACAACAACGTAAACCTGCTGTCCCTTTTGATTTCATCAAGTGCAAACAATATATAATAATAATAATAATAATAATAATAATAATAATAATAATAATAATAATAATTTATTATTTATACCCCGCCCATCTGGCTGGGCCTCCCCAGCCACTCTGGGCGGCTTCCATAAAAACCAAAAATACAATAAAATCACACGTTAAAAACTTCCCTGAACAGGGCTGCCTTAAGATGTCTTCTGAATGTCAGGTAGTTGTTTATCGCTTTGACATCTGCTGGAAGGGCGTTCCACAGGGCGGGCGCCACTACCGAAAAGGCCCTCTGCCTGGTTCCCTGTAGCTTTGCTTCTCACAATGAGGGAACTGCCAGAAGGCCCTCGGCGCTGGACCTCAGCGTCCGGGCAGAATGATGGGGGTGGAGACGCTCCTTCAGGTATACTGGACCGACGCCGTTTAGGGCTTTAAAGGTCAGCACCAACACTTTGAATTGTGCTCGGAAACGTACTGGGAGCCAATGTAGGTCTTTCAAGACCGGTGTTATATGGTCTCGGCGGCCGCCCCCAGTCACCAGTCTAGCTGCCGCATTCTGGATTAGTTGTAGTTTCCGAGTCACCTTCAAAGGTAGCCCCACGTAGAGTGCATTGCAGTAGTCCAAGCGGGAGATAACCAGAGCATGCACCACTCTGGCGAGACAGTCCGCAGGCAGATAGGGTCTCAGCCTACGTACCAGATGGAGCTGGTAAACAGCTGCCCTGGACACAGATTTGACCTGTGCCTCCATGGACAGCTATGAGTCCAAAATGACTCCCAGGCTGCGCACCTGGTCCTTCAGGGGCACAGTTACCCCATTCAGGACCAGGGAATCCTCCACACCTGCCCGCCTCCTGTCCCCCAAAAACAGTACTTCTGTCTTGTCAGGATTCAACCTCAATCTGTTAGCTGCCATCCATCCATCCATATGCCATCCATATACGCCTCGTGCTGGTGCACCATGCCTAGGTTGATCTTAATCTCACATGTATTCTGAACCACAACTGTCTTACCAGTGAAAGTAGGTTTTAGCTGATGCCTTCAAGTAGGTTTGCAGGACAAGGAGGCAAGGCACTGTCAGCAGGAGGCCTTGTTAGATTTTTTTCACCTGCAATGCTAATAACACTGACAAAAGGGAATGCCCCCAAGGACACTAAACTGGTAATATACTCTTCTCTTGCCTATCAGACCTTCAATGAAAACAGCTCCTAAATATTGCATCTAATACTTGTTTATTTTATTCAAGAGTCATCCTGAAGCTGTGGCAAGTGAGAAAATAAACACTATAAGAATCAGTGGCTCTTTAAATAACCATGGTTATTTTCAAAGTTAAGTGGAGTTCATAGTTCCCCAGGGAAATGCATTTGGCTTGTGAATAGCTCAAAGTGTGTGGCTCAAACTGTAGACAGATGTTGTTATAACAATCCCAAGATAACAGCTTCTGGCAAATGTGAAATTATCGCATTTGTATCCTACTGTTTGTTCAAAAGAGCTTGAAACAGCATACTTCTATATATTTTAAAAGGCATCCTTTTATTTCCATTTTAATATAGAAACATACATCTTTTTTTTTCATGCATAATTTTTATTAAGTTGCATAGTACAAAATACAAAATACAGAAAAAGATTCAATTCTCATTTTCACAGACTTTTGGTATGACTTCCTTCAGCCTTTCCACAAATCATCCGTTATAATCTTTATGAAGGTTCGCATTTCCTGTTTTATATTGCCATTATTCATCACAGTTCTTCCAATTCTCTTTAGACAATAACCTTTTCTTTTTACAGAGCTCCTTTAAAGCCCACTAGTGTTATCTGTCCGTCACTTAGATTTTCCAGATATTTCGTAAAGCTTTCCCAATCCTTAATGAACCTCTGGTCTTTTGAGTATCTAATTTTCCCTGTCATCTTATCCATCTCCGCATAATCTAACAGTTTTGCTCTCCATTCCTCAATAGTCGGTAAGCCCTCTGATTTCCAGTTTTGAGCTAGTAAAACTCTTGCTGCTGTTGTTGCATACTGGAACAACTTATGATCTTTATTCTTTATCTCCTTTCCTACCAATCCCAACAAAAAAGCCTCGGGTTTTTTAATAAAGGTATATCTTAAGATTTTCTTCATTTCATTATATACACTCTCCCAAAACCCTTTAACTTTTTGACATTCCCACCACATATGGTAGAAGGACCCCTCCCTTTCCTTGCACTTCCAGCATTTATTGCAGATTCCATACATTTTGGCCAATTTTGCAGGAGTCATATACCATCGATAGAACATTTTCATTAAGTTCTCCTTTAATGTCACACAAGCTGTAAACTTAAGATGTTTTTTCCAAAGTTTCTCCCATTCTTCGAAATATATATTGTGACCAATATCTTTAGCCCAATGTATCATCACCAACTTTACTTCCTCGTCTATTAAATTCCATTCCAATAGCTGATTGTACATTTTTGATAGGATTTTATAGTTATTGTTCAGTATCTCTGTCTGGAATCTAGAATCTTTATCAGCATATCCTTTGTCTTTAATGTCTTTTCTAAACATTCCATTTATCTGGAAGTAGTGCATCCAATCATAGACTTTCTCTTTGACCTGATCATACGGCTTCATTTTCCACTTTCCTTCTTCTTTCATTAACAGTTGTTCATAAGTGGCCCAATTATTTCTCATGTTAATCTTTTTAACGCTCATGACTTCTAGTGGCGATAGCCAATGGGGTGTTTTAGGTTCTAACATATCTCTATTCCTCTCCCATACCTCAATCAGTGGGCCTCTAAAGATGTGATTTTCGAAGCCCCTGTGCACTTTTTTCTTCTCCTGCCACAAATAGGCGTGCCACCCGAATCTGTTGTTAAATCCCTCTAGGTCTAGCACTTCCTTGTCTTCCAATTTTATCCATGTTTTAACCCAGCATAGGCATGACGCCTCATAATATAATTTCAGATCTGGCAGGGCAAAGCCCCCTCTCTCCTTCGCATCTGTCAACAATTTAAATTTTATTCTTGGTTTCTTGCCCTGCCAGACGAATTTTGAGATCACTCTCTGCCATTCTTTAAATAACTTTGTACCTTTAATTATGGGGATATTCTGGAACAAAAATAACACTTTAGGGAGTACGCTCATCTTGATTGTGGCTATTCTGCCCCAGAATGACAGTTTCAGCTTGCCCCACGCTTCAATATCTTTCTTA